ATCACCACCATCACCATCACCACCACCACCATCATCATCACCACCATCATCATCACCACCATCACCATCATCACCACCACCATCACCACCATCACCATCATCACCACCACCATCACCACCATCACCATCACCACCACCACCATCATCACCACCACCATCACCACCACCACCATCACCACCATCACCACCATCACCATCATCACCACCACCATCACCACCATCACCATCATCACCACCACCATCACCACCATCACCATCACCACCACCACCATCATCATCATCACCACCATCATCATCACCACCATCACCATCATCACCACCACCATCACCACCATCACCATCATCACCACCACCATCACCACCATCACCATCACCACCACCACCATCACCACCACCACCATCACCACCATCACCACCACCACCATCATCACCACCACCACCATCACCACCATCACCACCACCACCACCATCATCACCATCACCACCATCATCACCATCACCACCATCACCATCATCACCACCATCACCACCATCATCACCATCACCATCATCACCACCACCATCATCACCACCACCACCATCACCACCATCACCACCATCACCACCACCACCACCACCATCATCACCATCACCACCATCACCATCACCACCACCACCACCATCACCACCATCACCACCATCATCACCACCACCACCACCATCAGTGCTGGTGCCAGGTGGTTCTGCGTTCCCAGCGTGGTGCCAGGCTGGTGGTTGGAACCCAGCGGCCCCTCCTGGTTATTGCTGCGACGCCATCCTCCATCGCTGCTGCTCGCTAACACCGCACTTGCCCCGGCGGTCTGTGTGGGCTACACGGGCGGGGGGGATCCTTTGTCTTTGTCTGTGTGATCACAGCCTCTGAAGATTCCCGTTGCAGACGAGTTGATTTTAGCCGTGGGTGAGTGGACTCGTCATCGTCACCACCATCGTCATCACCATTGTCATCACCATCGTCATCGTCATCACCATCGTCATTGTAATCACCATCGTCATTGTCATCACCATCATAATTACCATCGTCATTGTAATCACCATCGTCATCGTCACCACCATCGTCACCACCATCGTCATCGTCATCACCATCGTCATTGTCATCACCATCGTCATCACCATCGTCATCACCATCGTCATCGTCATCACCATTGTCAACACCATCACCATCATCATTGTCATCACCATCGTCATCACCATCGTCATCACCATCACCATCGTCATCACCATCGTCATCACCATCGTCATCACCATCATAATCGTTATCACCATCGTCATTGTCATCACCATCATAATCACCATCGTCACCATCACCATCATAATTACCATCATCACCATCGTCATCACCATCATCATTGTCATCACCATCGTCATTGTAATCACCATCGTCATTGTCATCACCATCGTCATTGTCAACACCGTCGTCATCACCATCGTCATCGCCATCACCATCGTCATCACCATCGTCATTGTAATCATCATCGTCATCACCATCGTCATTGTAATCACCATCATCAAGACCATCGTCATCACTATCGTCATCACCATCGTCATTGTCATCACCATCATAATTAATATCGTCACCATCACCATCATAATTACCATCATCGTCACCATCACCATTGTCAACACCATCGTCACCATTGTCAACAACATCGTCACCATCACCATTGTCAACAACATTGTCACCATCACCATTGCCAACAACATCGTCACCATTGTCAACAACATCGTCACCATTGTCAACAACATCGTCACCATTGTGAACACCATCGTCACCATTGTCAACAACATCGTCACCATTGTCAACAACATCATCACCATTGTCAACAACATCGTCACCATTGTCAACAACATCGTCACCATCACCATTGTTAACAACATTGTCACCATTGTCAACAACATCGTCACCATTGTCAACAACATCGTCACCATGGTCAACAACATCGTCACCATTGTCAACAACATCGTCACCATTGTCAACAACATCGTCACCATGGTCAACAACATCGTCACCATTGTCAACAACATCGTCACCATCGTGAACACCATCGTCACCATTGTCAACAACATCGTCACCATTGTCAACACCATCGTCACCATTGTCAACAACATCGTCACCATTGTCAATACCATCGTCACCATTGTCAACAATATCGTCACCATCACCATTGTCAACAACATCGTCACCATTGTCAACAACATCGTCACCATCACCATTGTTAACAACATCGTCACCATTGTCAACAACATCATCACCATCACCATTGTCAACAACATCGTCACCATCACCATTGTCAACAACATCGTCACCATTGTCAACAACATCGTCACCATCACCATTGTTAACAACATCGTCACCATCACCATTGTCAACAACATCGTCACCATTGTCAACAACATCGTCACTATTGTCAACAACATCATCACCATTGTTAACAACATCATCACCATCACCATTGTTAACAACATCGTCACCATTGTTAACACCATCGTCACCATCACCATCGTCAACAACATTGTCACCATCACCATTGTCAACAACATCGTCACCATCACCATTGTCAACAACATCGTCACCATTGTCAACAACATCGTCACCATCACCATTGTTAACAACATCGTCACCATTGTCAACAACATCATCACCATCACCATTGTCAACAACATCGTCACCATTGTCAACAACATCGTCACCATCACCATTGTCAACAACATCGTCACCATTGTCAACAACATCGTCACCATCACCATCGTCAACAACATCGTCACCGTTGTCAACAACATCATCACCATTGTCAACAACATCGTCACCATTGTCAACAACATCATCACCATTGCCAACAACATCGTCACCATCACCATCGTCAACATCATCGTCACCATCACCATTGTCAACAACATCGTCACTGTCACCATTGTCAACAACATCGTCACCATCACCATTGTCAACAACATCGTCACCATTGTGAACAACATCATCACCATTGTCAACAACATCGTCACCATTGTGAACAACATCGTCACCATTGTCAACAACATCGTCACCATTATCAACAACATCGTCACCATTGTCAACAACATCGTCACCATTGTCAACAACATCGTCACCATTGTTAACAACATCGTCACCATTGTCAACAACATCGTCACCATCACCATCGTCAACAACATCGTCACCATCACCATTGTCAACAACATCGTCACCATCGTCAACACCATCGTCACCATCACCATTGTAAAACAACATCGTCACCATCACCATTGTCAACACCATCGTCACCATTGTCAACAACATCGTCACCATTGTCAACAACATCGTCACCATTGTCAACAACATCGTCACCATCACCATTGTCAACAACATCGTCACCATCACCATTGTCAACAACATCGTCACCATCACCATTGTCAACAACATCGTCACCATTGTCAACAACATCGTCACCATCACCATCGTCAACAACATCGTCACCATCACCATTGTCAACAACATCGTCACCATTGTCAACAACATCGTCACCATCGTCAACAACATCGTCACCATCGTGAACACCATCATCACCATTGTCAACAACATCGTCACCATCACCATTGTCAACAACATCGTCACCATTGTCAACAACATCGTCACCATCGTGAACACCATCATCACCATTGTCAACAACATCGTCACCATCACCATTGTCAACAACATCGTCACCACCGTCAACAACATCGTCACCATCGTGAACACCATCATCACCATTGTCAACAACATCGTCACCATCACCATCGTCAACAACATCGTCACCATCACCATCGTCAACAACACCATCACCATCACCATTGTCAACAACATCATCACCATCACCATTGTTAACACCATCGTCACCATTGTCAACAACATCGTCACCATCACCATTGTCAACACCATCGTCACCATCACCATCGTCAACAACATCGTCACCATCACCATTGTCAACAACATCGTCACCATCACCATTGTCTACAACATCATCACCATCACCATTGTTAACACCATCGTCACCATTGTCAACAACATCGTCACCATCACCATTGTCAACACCATCATCACCATCACCATCGTCAACAACATTGTCACCATCACCATTGTCAACAACATCGTCACCATCACCATCGTCAACAACATCATCACCATTGTCAACAACATCGTCACCATTGTCAACAACATCGTCACCATCACCATTGTCAACAACATCGTCACCATCACCATCGTCAACAACATCATCACCATCACCATTGTCAACAACATCGTCACCATTGTCAACAACATCGTCACCATCACCATCGTCAACAACATCGTCACCATCACCATTGTCAACACCATCGTCACCATTGTCAACAACATCGTCACCATTGTCAACAACATCGTCACCATTGTCAACAACATCGTCACCATTGTCAACAACATCGTCACCATCACCATTGTCAACAACATTGTCACCATCACCATTGTCAACAACATCGTCACCATCACCATTGTCAACAACATCGTCACCATTGTCAACAACATCGTCACCATCACCATCGTCAACAACATCGTCACCATCACCATTGTCAACAACATCGTCACCATCACCATCGTCAACAACATCGTCACCATCACCATTGTCAACAACATCGTCACCATTGTCAACAACATCGTCACCATCGTCAACAACATCGTCACCATCGTGAACACCATCATCACCATTGTCAACAACATCGTCACCATCACCATTGTCAACAACATCGTCACCATTGTCAACATCATCACCATTGTCAACAACATCATCACCATCACCATTGTTAACACCATCGTCACCATTGTCAACAACATCGTCACCATCACCATTGTCAACACCATCGTCACCATCACCATCGTCAACAACATTGTCACCATCACCATTGTCAACAACATCGTCACCATTGTCAACAACATCGTCACCATCACCATTGTCAACAACATCGTCACCATCACCATCGTCAACAACATCATCACCATCACCATTGTCAACAACATCGTCACCATTGTCAACAACATCGTCACCATCACCATCGTCAACAACATCGTCACCATCACCATTGTCAACACCATCGTCACCATTGTCAACAACATCGTCACCATTGTCAACAACATCATCACCATTGTCAACAACATCGTCACCATTGTCAACAACATCGTCACCATTGTCAACAACATCGTCACCATCACCATTGTCAACAACATCGTCACCATCACCATCGTCAACAACATCGTCACCATCACCATTGTCAACAACATCGTCACCATCGTCAACAACATCGTCACCATTGTCAGCAACATCGTCACCATTGTCAACAACATCATCACCATTGTCAACAACATCGTCACCATTGTCAACAACATCATCACCATCGTGAACACCATCGTCACCATTGTCAGCAACATCAGCAACATCGTCACCATTAACACGTAGGCTTTCGCGACCAATATTATTCATAATAAAGGTTTTTGGGTTAGATCGCGTTTATTTATAAATGTGTCGCAACCCTCCACCACCGGACACGGCCAATCAGCAAAAAAAGTGTCACGTTGACAAAAGACAAATAATTCACTACTTCAGCCCACCGGTGTGTTGAAGAGTTAATCCACATTTACAGTTTGAGTACGACGTTTCGCTGGTAAATACATCCAGCATCATCAAGCAATTCGCCAGAATGGTAAAGCCCTCGCTTGCTCCCGGTTTTTATATATAAAAATATATATAAAAACCGGGAGCAAGCGAGGGCTTTACCATTCTGGGAGCAAGCGAGGGCTTTACCATTCTGGCGAATTGCTTGATGATGCTGGATGTATTTACCAGCGAAACGTCGTACTCAAACTGTAAATGTGGATTAACTCTTCAACACACCGGTGGGCTGAAGTAGTGAATTATGTCTTTTGTCAACGTGACACTTTTTTTGCTGATTGGCCGTGTCGGGTGGTGGAGGGTTGCGACACATTTATAAATAAACGCGATCTAACCCAAAAACCTTTATTATGAATCGTCACCATTGTCAACAACATCGTCACCATTGTCAACAACATCGTCACCATTGTGAACACCATCGTCACCATTGTCAACAACATCATCACCATCACCATTGTGAACACCATCATCACCATTGTCAACAACATCGTCACCATTGTCAACAACATCGTCACCATCACCATTGTCAACAACATCGTCACCATTGTCAACAACATCGTCACCATTGTCAACAACATCATCACCATTGTCAACAACATCGTCACCATCACCATTGTCAACAACATCGTCACCATCACCATCGTCAACAACACCATCACCATCATCAACAACATCGTCACCATGGTCAACAACATCGTCACCATTGTCAACAACATCGTCACCATTGTGAACACCATCACCATTGTCAACACCATCGTCACCATTGTCAACAACATCGTCACCATCACCATTGTCAACAACATCGTCACCATCACCATCGTCAACAACACCATCACCATCGTCAACAACATCGTCACCATCACCATTGTCAACAACATCGACATCACCGTGTCCCACCCCGTGTCCCACCCCGTGTCTCACCGTCTCTCATTGTCTCACCTGTCCCACCCCGTGTCTCACCGTGGGTCTCACCGTGTCTCACCGTGTGTCTCACCGTGTGTCTCACCGTGTCTCACCGTGTCTCACCGTGTCTCACCGTGTCCCACCCCGTGTCTCATCGTGTCTCACCGTGTGTCTCACCCCGTGTCTCACCGTGTGTCTCACCGTGTGTCTCACCGTGTCCCACCCCGTGTCTCATCGTGTCTCACCGTGTGTCTCACCCCGTGTCTCACCGTGTGTCTCACCGTGTGTCTCACCGTGTCTCACCGTGTCTCATCGTGTCTCACCGTGCCTCACCATGTCTCACCGTGTGTCTCACCGTGTGTCTCACCGTGTGTCTCACCGTGTCTCACCGTGTGTCTCACCGTGTGTCTCACCGTGTGTCTCACCGTGTGTCTCACCGTGTCTCACCGTGTGTCTCACTGTGTGTCTCACCCCGTGTCTCACCGTGTCTCACCCCGTGTCTCACCGTGTGTCTCACCGTGTGTCTCACCCCGTGTCTCACCGTGTGTCTCATCGTGTCTCACCGTGTGTCTCACCGTGTGTCTCACCCCATGTCTCACCGTGTGTCTCACCGTGTCTCACCGTGTCTCACCGTGCCTCACCATGTCTCACCGTGTGTCTCACCGTGTGTCTCACCGTGTGTCTCACCCCGTGTCTCACCGTGTGTCTCACTGTGTGTCTCACCGTGTGTCTCACCGTGTGTCTCACCGTGTGTCTCACCGTGTGTCTCACCGTGTGTCTCACCGTGTGTCTCACCCCGTGTCTCACCGTGTGTCTCACCGTGTCTCATCGTGTCTCACCGTGCCTCACCATGTCTCACCGTGTGTCTCACCGTGTGTCTCACCGTGTGTCTCACCCCGTGTCTCACCGTGTGTCTCACTGTGTGTCTCACCGTGTGTCTCACCCCATGTCTCACCGTGTGTCTCACCGTGGCTCACCGTGTCTCACCGTGTGTCTCACCGTGTGTCTCACCGTGTGTCTCACCGTGTGTCTCACCGTGTCTCACCGTGTGTCTCACCGTGTGTCTCACCCCGTGTCTCACCGTGTGTCTCACCGTGTGTCTCACCGTGTGTCTCACCGTGTCTCTCACCGTGTGTCTCACCGTGTGTCTCACCGTGTGTCTCACCGTGTGTCTCACCCCGTGTCTCACCCCGTGTCTCACCCCGTGTCTCACCCCGTGTCTCACCGTGTGTCTCACCGTGTGTCTCATCGTGTGTCTTACCCCGTGTCTCACCGTGTGTCTCACCGTGTGTCTCACTGTGTGTCTCACCGTGTGTCTCACCGTGTGTCTCACCCCGTGTCTCACCGTGTGTCTCACCGTGTGTCTCACCCCGTGTCTCACTGTGTGTCTCACCGTGTGTCTCACCGTGTGTCTCACCGTGTGTCTCACCCCGTGTCTCACCGTGTGTCTCACCGTGTGTCTCACCGTGTGTCTCACCGTGTGTCTCACCCCGTGTCTCACCGTGTGTCTCACCGTGTGTCTCACCGTGTCTCACCGTGTGTCTCACCGTGTGTCTCACCGTGTGTCTCACCGTGTGTCTCACCGTGTCTCACCGTTTGTCTCACCCCGTGTCTCACCCCGTGTCTCACCGTGTGTCTCACCGTGTCTCACCGTGTCTCACCGTGTGTCTCACCCCGTGTCTCACCCCATGTCTCACCGTGTGTCTCACCGTGTCTCACCGTGTGTCTCACCGTGTGTCTCACCGTGTCTCACCCTGTGTCTCACCGTGTGTCTCACCGTTTGTCTCACCCCGTGTCTCACCCCGTGTCTCACCGTGTGTCTCACCCCGTGTCTCACCCCGTGTCTCACCGTGTGTCTTACCGTGTCTCACCGTGTGTCTCACCGTGTGTCTCACCGTGTCTCACCGTGTGTCTCACCGTGTCTCATTGTGTGTCTCACCGTGTGTCTCACCGTGTCTCACCGTGTGTCTCACCGTGTGTCTCACCGTGTCTCACCCCGTGTCTCACCCCGTGTCTCACCGTGTGTCTCACCATGTCTCACCGTGTCTCACCGTGTGTCTTACCGTGTCTCACCGTGTGTCTCACCGTGTGTCTCACCGTGTCTCACCGTGTGTCTCACCGTGTCTCATTGTGTGTCTCACCGTGTCTCACCGTGTCTCACCGTGTGTCTCACCGTGTGTCTCACCGTGTCTCACCCCGTGTCTCACCCCGTGTCTCACCGTGTGTCTCACCATGTCTCACCGTGTCTCACCCCGTGTCTCACCGTGTCTTACCGTGCCTCACCATGTCTCACCGTGTGTCTCACCGTGTGTCTCACCGTGTGTCTCACCGTGTCTCACCGTGTGTCTCACCGTGTGTCTCACCGTGTGTCTCACCGTGTCTCACCGTGTGTCTCACCGTGTGTCTCACCGTGTGTCTCACCGTGTCTCACCGTGTGTCTCACCGTGTGTCTCACCGTGTGTCTCACCGTGTCTCACCCCGTGTCTCACCGTGTGTCTCACCGTGTCTCACCGTGTCTCACCGTGTGTCTCACCGTGTAGAGGAATGCCGTGTGCGTCCCGGACTCGTGCTCGATGAGGCTGTCCGCCGTGCGGTGGAAACCGCTCAGCCCGGCGCGCTAGAGACGGCACGCGGACAGCTGGACGACTACCGGTGAGATGGTGGTGATGGTGGTGATGGTGGTGATGGTGGTGATGGTGGTGGTGATGGTGGTGATGGTGGTGGTGATGGTGGTGATGGTGGTGATGGTGGTGGTGATGGTGGTGATGGTGGTGGCCAAAACAACCCCCTACTTCCTCGGTGGCATGTGACGGTAACGCTGTGGTGGATGCGAGCGACGCCACGGAGGGAAGGACGGGCGACTCTGTCGTGGACAGTGCTGTGGGGGGAAGGCCAATTCCGATCGCCTCTACCCCTCATGGCGCTTGTCGCCACCGCAGCCGCCAAATGGGGGCTCTGGACGGGTGCGAGGGGCTGGTGACCCCTCCACCTTCAATACAAGCACCACGAAAACACGTGTTCAAAATCTAACTAAGCTTGTGCCGGAGGCGCCGGGGGGACAGGCGTCTATGACGTCTCCTGGCCAAACCCCATTTGGCAGAGCCAGGAGATTGAATCTTTACCCTCGGGGCTCCTCCAGATGCCGCAAAAAGCCACTTTGTGTGGCCACGTGGAATGTTCGAACGCTCACTGCGGAGGAGAGGCTGCCACTCCTCTGTCGGGAGCTGGACCAATACCGCCTGGATCTCTGTGGTATTCAGGAGGTCTGATCGACCGGCTCTGGCTCCTGCCACCATGAGGGGTGGACAGTCCTCTACTCGGGGCAGCAGACTGCCAAACAACAGGGAGTAGCTCTTGTTCTGAACAAAAGAATGAAGGGGGCGTGGGAGCGTGGCGGTGAGGTGTGGGAAGCTGTAAGCCCCAAGCTACTCTGGGCTCGACTTCCCATCAACCGGAGGCGAGGAGTGGTGGTCGTGGTTACTTATGGCCCCACCGAAGACGAACATCCGTGGAGGCATGCAGGCAAAGCCGATGAGTCAGATGCCTTCTATGACCTCCTGTCACAGGTGCTGGCTAAAGTGGCCCCTCGGGATAGAGTCATCTTGTTGGGTGACTTCAATGCCCGAGTTGGTCATGATGCTAGCACCTGGTCTGGAGTGATTGGAGGGCATGGGCCAGATCAACTCATTAACAACGGTAGGAGTGCTAGATTTTTGTGCAGCCCATGGGCTTGTAATTACCAACACGCTGTTCCAGCATTAGCGCATCCACACAACATCATGGATGCACGCCTGGTCCAAGCAAGAACATCTGCTGGACTACATAGTGACAGAACAGCGGATGCGGGCCCATGTCCTTGACACCAGGACCTACCGTGGAACTGATGTGATTGTCATCTCTAAGATACGCCTATCATTCTTCCACTCCGGTGGTGGGTGTACACCCAGGACCCCATTCAAAACTCAGTGGCATGGTGTCAGCTCGCTGATGAAAGTTGCGAGCGAGAATTTCATCATACTACCTGGCATCTGGCTCCGCACCAAGCTTCGAGTTTTCTCGGCCACGGTGATTCCCTCCCTTCTCTACGCTTCCGAAACGTGGACCCCCCTCATGGAACATCTTCGCCGGTTAGAAACATTGAGGCTATCCTGCCTACGATCCATCCTGGGTTTAAGCAGGCTGGATTGTGTGAGGAGCTCACAGATCCTTGAATGACCTGGACAAAGTCCCATCGGTGAGCTCCTCCGGCAGGCAAGGCTGCATTGGCTGGACGATGTGGACGATGTTGACGATGTTGATGGTGGTGGTGATGGTGATGGTGGTGATGGTGATGTAAGAGGCGGAGGGTGATGGGGCTGGGGACGATGTTTGGAGAGACGATTTTGACGATGTTGATGATGTTGACGACGTTGATGGTGGTGATGGTGGCGATGGTGATGGTGGTGATGGTGGTGATGGTGATGTTGACGATGTTGATGGTGGTGATGGTGGTGGTGATGGTGATGGTGGTGATGGTGGTGATGATGGTGATGGTGATGTAGGAGGCGGAGGGTGATGGGGCTGGGGACGATGTTTGGAGAGACGATGTTGCCACCCGTTCCCAACGCGGTGAAGGAGGTTCACCTCGCTGAGCACAGTCTCACCAAGATCAGCAACATGATGTACGCTCACCACCACTCACCACACTCACCACTCATACTCACCACCATTCACCGCTCACCACCACTCACCAATCACCACTACTCACCATGCTCACAACCACTCACCACTCACACTCACCACCACTCACCACTCACCACGCTCACCACCACTCGCTACTCACGCTCACCACCAGTCACCACCACTCACCACCACTCACCACTCACCACTCACGCTCACCACTCACGCTCACCACCACTCACCACTTACACTCACCACCACTCACCACACTCACCACCACTCACGCTCACCACCACGCTCACCACTCACCACCACTCACCACGCTCACCACCACTCACCACTCACGCTCACCACCACTCACCACTCACCACCACTCACCACTCACGCTCACCACCACGCTCACCACTCACCACCACTCACCACACTCACCACCACTCACCACTCACCACCACTCTCCACGCTCACCACCACTCACACTTACCACCACTCACCACCACTCACCACACTCACCACCACTCACCACACTCACCACCACTCACCACCACTCACCACGCTCACCACCACTCACCACTCATGCTCACCACCACTCACCACCACTCACCACTCACCACTCACGCTCACCACCACTCACCACCACTCACCACTCACGCTCACCACCACTCACCACTCACGCTCACCACCACTCACCACTCACGCTCACCACTCACGCTCACCACCGCTCACCACTCACGCTCACCACTCACGCTCACCACCACTCACACTCACCACTCACGCTCACCACCACTCACCACTCACGCTCACCACCACTCACCACTCACGCTCACCACCACTCACCACTCACGCTCACCACCACTCATTCTGACCACTCACGCTCACCACCACTCACGCTCACCACCACTCACCACTCACCACCACTCACGCTCACCACCACTCACACTCACCACCACTCACCACTCATGCTCACCACCACTCACCACTCACCACCCACGCTCACAACCACTTACGCTCACCACCACTCACCACTCACGCGCACCACCACTCACCACTCACGCTCACCACCACTCACCACTCACGCTCACCACTCACAGACAACCTCAACTCACCACTCACCATGTTTGCTTGTGAACTACAATCTCACATCCTATATACGTGTGCGTGTGCTGACTGTGTGTGTGTCTGTGTGTGCATGTGTGTGTGTCTGTGTGTGTGTCTGTGTGTGTCTGTGTGTGTGTAACTGTGTGTGTCTGTGTGTGTGTCTGCGTGTGTGTGTGCGTGTGTGTGTAACTGTGTGTGTGTGCGTGCGTGTGTCTGTGTGTGTGTGTGTGTGCGTGTGTGTGTGTGCATGTGTTTGTGTGCGTGTGTTTGTGTCTGTGTGTGTTTGTGTGTGTGTGCGTGTGTTTGTGTCTGTGTGTTTTTGTCTGTGTGTTTTTGTCTGTGTGTGCGTGTGTTTGTGTCTGTGTGTGTCTGTGTGTGTGTGTGTCTGTGTGTGCGTGTGTGTGTGTGTCTGTGTGTGTGTCTGTGTGTGTGTCTGTGTTTGTGTCTGTGTGTGTGTGCGTCTGTGTGTCTGTGTGTGTGTGTGTCTGTGCGTGTGTGTCTGTGTCTGTGTGTGTGTGCGTGTGTCTGTGTGTGCGTGTGTGTGTGTCTGTGTGTGCGTGTGTGTGTGTGTTTCTGTGTGTTTTTGTGTGTCTGCGTGTGTCTGTGCGTGTGTGTGTGCGTGTGTGTGTGTCTGTGTGTGTCTGCGTGTGTGTGTGCGTGTGTGTGTGTCTGTGTGTGTCTGCGTGTGTGTGTGTGTTTGTGCGTGTGTGTGTGTCTGTGCGTGTGTGTGTGTTTGTGTCTGTCTGTGTGTGCGTGTGTGTGTGCGTCTGTGTGTGCGTGTGTGTGTGTGTCTGTGTGTGTGTCTGTGTGTGTAACTGTGTGTGTCTGTGTGTGTGTCTGTGTGTGTAACTGTGTGTGTGTGTCTGTGTGTGTGTCTGCGTGTGTGTGTGCGTGTGTGTGTAACTGTGTGTGTGTAACTGTGTGTGTCTGTGTGTGTGTGTAACTGTCTGTGTGTGTGCGTGTCTCTGTGTGTGTAACTGTGTGTGTGTGTAACTGTGTGTGTGTGTAACTGTGTGTGTCTGTGTGTGTGTGTAACTGTCTGTGTGTGTGTCTGTAACTGTGTGTGTGTGTGCGTGTGGCTGTGTGTGTGTGCGCGTGTGTGTGTAACTGTGTGTGTGTAACTGTGTGTGTGTCTGTGTGTGTGTGTGTAACTGTGTGTGTGTGTAACTGTGTGTGTGTGTCTGTGTGTGTGTGTGTAACTGTGTGTGTAACTGTGTGTGTGTGTAACTGTGTGTGTAACTGTGTGTGTGTAACTGTGTGTGTATGTAACTGTGTGTGTGTAACTGTGTGTGTGTGTAACTGTGTGTGTAACTGTGTGTGTGTGTCTGTGTGTGTGTGTGTGTGTGTGTAACTGTGTGTGTAACTGTGTGTGTGTGTGTAACTGTGTGTAACTGTGTGTAACTGTGTGTGTGTCTGTGTGTGTGTGTAACTGTGTGTGTAACTGTGTGTGTGTGTAACTGTGTGTGTGTGTCTGTGTGTGTGTAACTGTGTGTGTGTGTAACTGTGTGTGTAACTGTGTGTGTGTGTGTAACTGTGTGTGTGTGTAACTGTGTGTGTCTGTCTGTCTGTGTGTGTGTGTAACTGTCTGTGTGTGTGTCTGTGTGTGTGTAACTGTCTGTGTGTGTGTGTCTGTGTGTGTGTAACTGTGTGTGTGTGTGTATGTGTGTGTGTAACTGTCTGTGTGTGTGTGTAACTGTCTGCGTGTGTGTGTAACTGTCTGTGTGTGTGTGTAACTGTCTGTGTGTGTGTCTGTAACTGTGTGTGTGTGTGCGTGTGTGTGTAACTGTGTGTGTAACTGTCTGTGTGTGTGTAACTGTGTGTCTGTGTGTGTGTGTGTAACTGTGTGTGTAACTGTGTGTGTGTGTGTAACTGTGTGTGTAACTGTGTGTGTGTCTGTGTGTGTGTGTAACTGTGTGTGTAACTGTGTGTGTGTGTGTGTAACTGTGTGTGTGTGTCTGTGTGTGTGTGTGTAACTGTGTGTGTAACTGTGTGTGTGTGTGTAACTGTGTGTGTGTGTGTGTAACTGTGTGTGTAACTGTGTGTGTGTGTAACTGTGTGTGTGTGTAACTGTGTGTGTAATTGTGTGTGTGTAACTGTGTGTGTGTGTCTGTGTGTGTGTGTAACTGTGTGTGTGTCTGTGTGTGTGTAACTGTGTGTGTGTCTGTGTGTGTAACTGTGTGTGTGTGTAACTGTGTGTGTGTGTGTAACTGTGTGTGTGTGTGTAACTGTGTGTGTGTAACTGTGTGTGTGTGTGTAACTGTGTGTGTGTGTGTAACTGTGTGTGTGTGTGTAACTGTGTGTGTGTGTGTAACTGTGTGTGTGTGTAACTGTGTGTGTGTGTGTGTGTAACTGTGTGTGTGTGTGTAACTGTGTATGTGTAACTGTGTGTGTGTGTGTAACTGTGTGTGTGTGTAACTGTGTGTGTGTAACTGTGTGTGTGTAACTGTGTGTGTGTAACTATGTGTGTGTAACTGTGTGTGTGTGTGTGTAACTGTGTGTGTGTGTAACTGTGTGTGTGTGTGTAACTGTGTGTGTGTGTGTGTAACTGTGTGTGTGTGTCTGTGTGTTTTTCAGAGAGGGAACGGACGAGGAGAGACGGTGCGGTTCCACCCCGACCATCACCTCGTAGCTCACCACGCTCACCACGCTCACCACTCTCACCACGCTCACCACGCTCACCACGCTCACCACGCTCGCCACTCTCACCACTCTCACCACGCTCACCACGCTCACCACTCTCACCACGCTCACCACGCTCACCACGCTCACCACGCTCACCACGCTCACCACTCTCACCACGCTCACCACTCTCACCTTGCTCACCACGCTCACCACGCTCACCACGCTCACCACTCTCAGCACGCTCACCACGCTCACCACTCTCACCACGCTCACCACTCTCACCACGCTCACCACGCTCACCACGCTCACCACGCTCACCACGCTCACCACGCTCACCACTCTCACCACGCTCACCACTCTCACCAGGCTTACCAGGCTCACCACTCTCACCACGCTCACCACGCTCACCACGCTCACCACGCTCACCACGCTCATCACTCTCATCACTCTCACCACTCTCACCACGCTCACCACTCTCACCACACTCACCACGCTCACCACGCTCACCACGCTCACCACTCGATGATGATGACGACGATGATGATGATGACGACGATGATGACGATGACGACGATGATTACGACGATGATGGTGATTGATGACGATGATGATGATGATGATTATGACGACGATGATGATGACGACGATAATGATGATGATGATGATGACGACCATCACGACGATGACGACGATGATGATGATGACGATGATGATGATGACGATGATGACGACGATGCTAATGACGATGATGGCGACGATGATGATAACGACGATGATGATGATGATGACCACCACGACCACCACCACCACGACCACCACCATCACCACCACCATCACCACGACCACCACCATCACCACCACCACAACCACCACCATCACCACCACCACGACCACCATCATCACCACCACCACCACGACCACCACCACCACGACCACCACCACCACAACCACCACCACTAACACGACCACCACCATCACCACCACCACGACCACCACCACCACCACCATCATCATCACCACCACCACCATCACCACGACCACCACCACCACCACGACCACCACCACCACGACCACCACCACCACCATCATCACCACCACCACCACAACCACCACCACCACCACAACCACCACCAACACGACCACCACCACCACGATTGCTCCTGGGCACTTACGCCGACAGCAGCCTGTGAAGGCTGCGCAGGGGACCCGTGCGTGTGTGTGTGTGTGTGTCTGTGTGTGTGCGTGTGTGTGTGTGCGTGTGTGTGTGTGCGTGTGTGTGTGTGTGTGTCTGTGTGTGTGCGTGTGTGTGCGTGTGTGTGTGTGTGTCTGTGTGTGTGCGTGTGTGTGTGTGCGTGTGTGTGTGTGCGTGTGTGTGTGTGTGTCTGTGTGTGTGCGTGTGTGTGCGTGTGTGTGTGTGCGTGTGTGCGTGTGTCTGTGTGTGTGTGCGTGTGTGTGCGTGTGTGTGTGTGTGCGTGTGTGTGTGCGTGTGTGTGTGTGTGACCGGCAAAACAACCCCCTACCTCCTCGCGGTGCCGGATGGGCAACTCTGTCGTGGACAGTGCTGTGGGGGGAGATCCAATTTTGATTGGCTCCTCCCCTCATGGCATATGTGTCCACCACAGGGGCTAAACGGGGGCTCTGGACGTGTGTGAGGGGCTGGTAACCCCTCCACCTTCAATTAATTACCACGAAACCACGAGTTAAACTGAAATATGTAACTAATAAACTTGTGCCGGAGGCCCCGGGGGGCCAGGCGTTTATGACGTCTCCTGGCCAAACCCCATTTGGCGGAGCCAGGAGATTGAATATCCACCCTCGGGGCTCCTCCAGAAACAACGAAAAGCCACTACGGGTGGCCACGTGGAATGTTCGAACGCTCACTGCGGAGGAGAGGCTGCCACTCCTCTGTCGGGAGCTGGACCGGTACTGCCTGGATCTATGCGGCATTCAGGAGGTCCGGTGGACCGGTTCTGGCTCCTGCCACCATGAGGGGTGGACAGTCCTCTACTCGGGGCAGGAGACTGCCAAACAACAAGGTGTGGCTCTTCTTTTGAACAAAAGAATGAAGGGGGCGTGGGAGCGTGGCGGTGAGGTGTGGGAAGCTGTAAGCCCCAGGCTACTTTGGGCTCGCCTTCCCATCAACCGGAGGCGAGGAATGGTGGTCGTGGTTACTTATGCCCCCACCGAAGATGAACATCCGTGGAGGGATGCAGGCAAAGCCGATGAGTGAGATGCCTTCTATGACCTCCTGTCACAGGTGCTGGCTAAAGTGGCCCCTCGGGATAGAGTTATCATGTTGGGTGACTTTAATGCCCGAGTTGGTCATGATACTGGCACCTGGTCTGGAGTGATTGGAGGGCATGGGCCAGATCAGCTCAATAACAACGGTAGGAGGCTGCTAGATTTTTGTGCAGCCCATGGGCTTGTAATTACCAACACGCTGTTCCGGCATCGGCGCATCCACACAACATCATGGATGCATGCCGGGTCCAAGCAAGAACATCTGCTGGACTGCATAGTGACGGACCAGCGGATGCGAGCCTATGTCCTTGACACCAGGACCTACCGTGGAGCTGATCTGCCCTCTGACCATCGACTAGTCATCTGTAAGATGCGCCTGCCATTCTTCCACTCCGGTGGTGGGTGTACACCCAGGACCCCATTCCGACCTAAAGTGGCCTGGTCTCAGTTATCTGATGAAAGTTGCAAGCGAGAATTTCATCATCGCTTGCGGCTGGGATTGGCATCGTCCCCCACTCCTGATGTCGAAGGTAAATGGGCGAGGTTTAGGACTGTGACTCATGCAGCTGCAATGGCTGCTTTGGGTACACGGTCCAGACCTCCCCAGAGACCCTGGCTGACAGAGGAGGTGTTCAGGATGGTTGAGAAAAAGCGACAGGCCCACTGTCATTGGCTACAGAATCCCACGTCAGAGAATGAGGAGGCTTACCGCAGCCTTCGCTCGGAGGTTCGGAGAGCCGTGAGGCGCTGCAAGGATGGGTGGTGGTCGCGGGTTGCTGGGGAGATGGAGGTCGCCTCAGTGGCCCGTGATCACAAATCTCTATTTAACTCCATCAAAAAAGTAACCTGCAGCGCCACACCTATTACCATCATTAGGGGAAAAAAACGGTGATCCAATCTCCGACCCCCAGGAACAGGTTTGCAGATTTGCTGAGCATTTCTGTGAGGTCCTGGGGGAGGGAAAATCCCTCAGCCAGGAAAACATCGTGGCACAAAGTGAGGATGACCCTGCTGAGGCTGCGGTGCCTCAAATATTGGAAGAAGTCACCCGCTGTGAGTGGCTGGCTGAGGTGCCATCTGTTGAGGAAGTACTGAAGGCGATCCGGAGTCTGAGACTTGAAAAGGCAGCGGGCAGAGATGATCTCCCAAGCGAAATGCTGAGGGAGGGTGGCATTTGTGCACAGACTGCCTTATGACATCATAACAACGGTCTGGGCCGCTGGACGGGTTCCGCAGGATTGGAAGGATGCCCTGGTGGTCCCCCTCTTTAAGAAGGGGGACCGCACAGACTGTAACAACTACAGGGGCATCTCACTCCTCAGTGTGCCGGGAAAGGTCCTGGCAAGGATTATTCAGCATCGCCTTGCCAGGCACGCTGAGGAGAGGCTTGCGGAGCCCCAATGCGGTTTCAGGAAAGGGCGGTCCTGCACAGATGCCATATTTTCTGTCCGTCTGCTACAGCAGAGGTGTAGGGAATTCCAACAAGACCTACATCTCTGCTTTATTGACCTGGTCAAGGCCTATGATACCATCAGTAGGCCTGGGCTCTGGGTCGTTCTTCGTGCTTTTGGAGTACCTGACCCTCTGCTCACGATCATTAAGGACCTTCATGATGGTGAGCGGGCCCGGGTAAAACTACGTGGCCGGGAGTCAGAGCCATTCCCTGTACACCTTGGGGTGCGACAGGGATGTCCTCTGGCTCCCACATTATTTGTGGGAGCCACGTAGTTCGTGAAGCCTTCAATAGCTGTACCGGGGGAATCTCCATATGGTACAGATATAATGGGAGGCTGATCGATGCCCAGGTGCGGTCAAGGGATGGCTCCCTATTGCTCAACCACGTTATGTATGCTGATGATTTGGTAATAGCTGCTCAGTCAGAGGAGGAGTTGGAGACGCTGCTGCTGAGACTGGAGCGTGCCACTAAGAGGTGGGGCCTTACCATCAGCCCCACCAAAACTAAGCACCTGCCTGGGTATTTTGTACCATCGGACACTCCACCCCCACAACTCCCAATCGGTGATGGGGCAGTTGTGGAGAGAGTGGAGAGTTTCCCATACCTGGGTAGTGTGCTTATGACTGGCTCCAGTTTAACAGCAGAGGTCTCACTCCGAATCAGTCGAGCGGCAATATCTTTTCATCGGTTGCGTAACGCTGTGTGGAAGCTACCTGGTCTGTCGCTCTGCACTAAGCTTCAGGTCTTCTCGGCCACGGTCATTCCCTCCCTTCTCTACGCTTGCGAAACGTGGACCCCCCTAATGGAACATCTTCGCCAGTTAGAAACATTTAGGCTGGCCTGCCTACGATCCATCCTGGGTTTAACCAGACTGGATTGTGTGAGGAGCTCACAAATCCTTGAAAGATCTGGGCAAGGTCCCATCGGTGAGCTCCTTCGGCGGGCAAGGCTGCGATGGCTGGGTCATGTAGCCCGCATGCCCAGCCAACGCATGCCGAAACAGCTTTTGTTTGGCCGGATTGAAGGGGCAAAGCGGGCGCGGCACGGGCTAGAGAAGAGATGGAGTGATGTGGTACAGGAGGACGTGGAGCTGAGTGGACTTGCCGATGACTGGTACCAGCGGTGTCAAGATCGGCCTCTGTGGAGGAGGCTCGTGAAGGATGCTACTGGGCAGTTGGAGGTAGTCGCCCTCCAACAACAACGGAGGGCGGAGGAGCGACGCTCACAACAACGAGCGGAGCGCCGGGTGGCCAAAGCACAGCAGGTTGGCACAGTAGGGGGCACAGGTGGTGCATCAGCCAGTCATCTCAGTCAGTCGACCCGTGGCACCTGGGTCTGCCCCGTGACCTCCTGCCAGCGGGCGTTCGACACTTCACGTGGCCTCAGGGTGCACATAGCCTGGCACAAGCGTCGTGGTGACGTCACCGCCACTTAGTGGCGAATGGCGGTTGTTGTTGTTGTGCGTGTGTGCGTGTGTGTGTCTGTGTGCGTGTGTGTGTGTGCGTGTGCGTGTGTGTGTGCGTGTGTGTGTGTGTGTGCGTGTGTGTGTGCAGGGAGATGATCATGGCGGCCGTGGCGGTGTACATGCGTGGTGCCGGCGTGTGTGTGTGTGTGTGCGTGTGTGTTCGTGTGTGTGTGCGTGTGTGTGTGTGTGCGTGTGTGTGTGCGTGTGTGTGTGTGTGCAGGGAGATGATCATGGCGGCGGTGGCGGTGTACATGCGTGGTGCCGGCGTGAGCGTGCCCAGCGCCCTGGCGCCCGCGCTCGCAGACGGCAGCGACAAGCGCAAGCGCAGCGTGTTCAACATGAAGAAGGTGCCCTCCACTCCAGCACCAGCACCACCAGCACCAGCACCACCTCCACTCCAGCATCAGCACCACCACCAGCACCACCACACCACCACCACATCACCACCTCCACTCCAGCACCACCACCAGCACCAACACCAACACCACCACACATCACCACCACCACTCCAGCACCACCACCAGCACCAACACCAACACCACCACACATCACCACCACCACTCCAGCACCAGCACCACCACCAGCACCACCACACCACCACCACATCACCACCTCCACTCCACCACCAGCACCACCACCACCACACCACACATCACCACCTCCACTCCAGCACCAGCACCACCACACCACCACACCACCACCACATCACCACCTCCACCACCAGCACCACCACCACCACCACCAGCACCACCACACCACCACACCACCACCACATCACCACCTCCACTCCAGCACCACCACCACCACCAGCACCACCACACCACCACACCACCACCACATCACCACCTCCACCACCAGCACCACCACCAGCACCACCACACCACCACCACATCACCACCTCCACTCCACCACCAGCACCACCACCACCACACCACACATTACCACCTCCACTCCACCACCAGCACCACCACCAGCACCAACACCACCACACATCACCACCTCCACTCCACCACCACCACCAACACCACCAACACCACCACACATCACCACACACCACCAGCACCACCACACCACCACACATCACCACCTCCACTCCACCACCAGCACCACCACCAGCACCACACATCACCACCTCCACTCCACCACCACCACCACCACACATCACCACCACCACATCACCACACACCACCAGCACCACCACACCACCAACACCACCACACATCACCACCACATCACCACACACCACCAGCACCACCACACCACCAACACCACCACACATCACCACCATATCACCACACACCATACACCACCACACATCACCACACATAACCACACATCATCACCACCACATCACCACACACCACCATACACCACCACACATCACCACACATAACCACACATCACCACCACCACATCACCACGCACCATACAGTGTGGGAAAAAAGTATTTGATCCCCTGCTGATTTTGTACGTTTGCCCACTGACAAAGAAATGATCAGTCTATAATTTTAATGGTAGGTTTATTTGAACAGTGAGAGACAGAATAACAACAACAAAATCCAGAAAAACATATGTCAAAAATGTTATAAATTGATTGGCATTTTAATGAGGGAAATAAGTATTTGACCCATCTGCAAAACATGACTTAGTACTTGGTGACAAAACCCTTGTTGGCAATCACAGAGGTCAGACGTTTCTTGTAGTTGGCCACCAGGTTTGCACACATCTCAGGAGGGATTTTGTCCCACTCCTCTTTGCAGATCTTCTCCAAGTCATTAAGGTTTCGAGGCTGACGTTTGGCAACTCGAACCTTCAGCTCCCTCCACAGATTTTCTATGGGATTAAGGTCTGGAGACTGGCTAGGCCACTCCAGGACCTTAATGTGCTTCTTCTTGAGCCACTCCTTTGTTGCCTTGGCCGTGTGTTTTGGGTCATTGTCATGCTGGAATACCTGTCCACAACCCATTTTCAATGCCCTGGCTGAGGGAAGGAGGTTCTCACCCAAGATTTGACGGTACATGGCCCCGTCCATAGTCCCTTTGATGCGGTGAAGTTGTCCTATCCCCTTAGCAGAAAAACACCCCCAAAGCATAATGTTTCCACCTCCATGTTTGACGGTGGGGATGGTGTTCTTGGGGTCATAGGCAGCATTCCTCCTCCAAACACGGCGAGTTGAGTTTATGCCAAAGAGCTCCATTTTGGTCTCATCTGACCACAACACTTTCACCCAGTTGTCCTCTGAATCATTCAGATGTTCATTGGCAAACTTCTGACGGGCATGTATATGTGCTTTTTTGAGCAGGGGGACCTTGCGGGCGCTGAAGGATTTCAGTCCTTCACGGCGTAGTTTGTTACCAATTGTTTTCTTGGTGACTATGGTCCCAGCTGCCTTGAGATCATTGACAAGATCGTCCCGTGTAGGTCTGGGCTGATTCCTCACCGTTCTCATGATCATTGCAACTTCACGAGGTGAGATCTTGCATGGAGCCCCAGGCCGAGGGACATTAACAGTTCTTTTGTGTTTCTTCCATTTGCGAATAATCGCACCAACTGTTGTCACCTTCTCACCAAGCTGCTTGGCAATGGTCTTGTAGCCCATTCCAGCCTTGTGTAGGTCTAAAATCTTGTCCCTGACATCCTTGGAGAGCTCTTTGGTCTTGGCCATGGTGGAGAGTTTGGAATCTGATTGATTGATTGCTTCTGTGGATAGGTGTCTTATATACAGCTAACAAGCTGAGATTAGGAGCACTCCCTTTAAGAGTGGGCTCCTAATCTCAGCTCGTTACCTGTATAAAGGACATCTGGGAGCCAGGAATCTTTCTGATTGAGAGGGGGTCAAATACTTATTTCCCTCATTAAAATGCCAATCAATTTATAACATTTTTGACATGCGTTTTTCTGGATTTTGTTGTTGTTATTCTGTCTCTCACTGTTAAAATAAATCTACCATTAAAATGATAGACTGATAATTTCTTTGTCAGTGGGCAAACGTACAAAATCAGCAGGGGATCAAATACTTTTTTCCCCTCACTGTACACCACCACACCACCACACATCACCACACATCACCACATACCATACACCACCACACCACCACACATCACCACCACCACACCACCACCACACACCACCACCACACATTACGATACACCACCACACCACCACTCATCACCACCACCACCACACCACCACCACACACCACCACCACACATCACCACACACCATACACCACCACACATCACCACCACCACAAACCACCACCACCACACCACCACACCACCACTGTGTGTGTAACTGTGTGTGTGTCTGTGTGTGACTTTGTGTGTGTGTCTTTGTGTGTGTGTGTGTGTTTGTGTGTTTGTGTGTGTGTTTGTGCTCGCTAACAGCACTTGCCCCTACAGTCTGTTAAGGCTATACGCAGGATCTTTGTGTTTGTGCGTGTGTAATTGTGTGTGTATGTGTGTAACTGTGTGTGTGTGTGACTGTGTGTGTGTAACTGTGTGTGTAACTGTGTGTGTGTAGCGGTTAGCGCGCTGCGCTATGAACCTGGCGACCCGGGTTCGATTCCCGCTCACGGCCAACACCAGTGACGATTATCTGAACCGGGCCTCCCCTAGGTCGACTCAGCCTCAAATGAGTACCTGGTGCGGTGTGTAAACATTGCCACTAGGGAGACAAAGGCGGTCGGGCGTGGTGCTGGCCACCCACCCTCTCGTGTACCGTTCCAGCCTTCATAGGTGCTCGCTAACAGCACTTGCCTCTACAGTCTGTTAAGGCTATATGGGGGATCTTTTGATTTTTGTGTAACTGTGTGTGTGACTGTGTGTGTGTGACTGTGTGTGTGTGTAACTGTGTGTGTGTGTAACTGTGTGTGTGTGACTGTGTGTGTGACTGTGTGTGTGTGTGTAACTGTGTGTGTGTGTGTGACTGTGTGTGTGTGTGACTGTGTGTGTGTGTGTGTAACTGTGTGTGTGTGTGTGTAACTGTGTGTGTGTAACTGTGTGTGTGTGTAACTGTGTGTGTGTAACTGTGTGTGTGTGTAACTGTGTGTGTGTAACTGTGTGTGTGTGTAACTGTGTGTGTAACTGTGTGTGTGTAACTGTGTGTGTGTGTAACTGTGTGTGTGTGACTGTGTGTGTGTGTAACTGTGTGTGTGTGTAACTGTGTGTGTGTGTAACTGTGTGTGTGTGTAACTGTGTGTGTGTGAGACTGTGTGTGTGTGTGACTGTGTGTGTGTGTGACTGTGTGTGTGTGTGTGACTGTGTGTGTGTAACTGTGTGTGTGTGTGTGTAACTGTGTGGGGAGCGATAGTGTAGCGGTTAGCGCGCTGCGCTATGAACCTGGCGACCCGGGTTCGATTCCCGCTCATGGCCAACACCAGTGACGATTATCTGAACCGGTACTGGGCCTCCCCTAGGTCGACTCAGCCTTAAATGAGTACCTGGTGCGGTGGATAAAAACATTGCCACTGGGGAGACAAAGGCGGTCGGGCGTGGTGCTGGCCACCCACCCCCTCGTGTACCGTTTCGGCCTTCATAGGTGCTCGCTAACAGCACTTGCCCCTACAGTCTGTTAAGGCTATACGGGGGATCTTTGTGTGTGTAACTGTGTGTGTGTGACTGTGTGTGTGTGACTGTGTGTGTGACTGTGTGTGTGTAACTGTGTGTGTAACTGTGTGTGTAACTGTGTGTGTGTGTGTAACTGTGTGTGTGTGTGTAACTGTGTATGTGTGTGTGACTGTGTGTGTGTGTGTGACTGTTTGTGTGTGTGTGTAACTGTGTGTGTAACTGTGTGTGTGTGTAACTGTGTGTGTAACTGTGTGTAACTGTGTGTGTAACTGTGTGTGTGTGTGTGTAACTGTGTGTGTGTGTAACTGTGTGTGTGTAACTGTGTGTGTGTGTTACTGTGTGTGTGTGTGTAACTGTGTATGTGTGTGTAATTGTGTGACTGTGTGTGTAACTGTGTGTGTGTGTGTAACTGTGTGTAACTGTGTGTGTGTGTGTAACTGTGTGTGTGTGTAACTGTGTGTGTAACTGTGTGTGTGTGTGTAACTGTGTGTGTGTGTGTGTAACTGTGTGTGTGTGTAACTGTGTGTGTGTAACTGTGTGTGTGTGTGTAACTGTGTGTGTGTGTGTAACTGTGTGTGTGTGTGTGACTGTGTGTGTGTGTGTGACTGTGTGTGTGTGTGCCTGTGTGTGTGTGTAACTGTGTGTGTAACTGTGTGTGTGTGTAACTGTGTGTGTAACTGTGTGTGTGTGTGTAACTGTGTGTGTGTGTGTAACTGTGTGTGTGTGTGTGTAACTGTGTGTGTGTGTAACTGTGTGTGTGTTACTGTGTGTGTGTAACTGTGTGTGTGTGTTACTGTGTGTGTTACTGTGTGTAACTGTGTGTGTGTAACTGTGTGTGTGTAACTGTGTGTGTGTAACTGTGTGTGTGTGTTACTGTGTGTGTGTGTAACTGTGTGTGTGTGTTACTGTGTGTGTTACTGTGTGTGTAACTGTGTGTGTGTAACTGTGTGTGTGTAACTGTGTGTGTGTGTAACTGTGTGTGTGTGTAACTGTGTGTGACTGTGTGTGACTGTGTGTATGTGTGTGACTGTGTGTGTGTGTGTAGCTGTGTGTGTGTGTAACTGTGTGTGTCTGTGTGACTGTGTGTGTGTGTAACTGTGTGTGTGTGTAACTGTGTGTGTGTGTAACTGTGTGTGTGACTGTGTGTGTGACTGTGTGTGTGTAACTGTGTGTGTGACTGTGTGTGTGTAACTGTGTGTGTAACTGTGTGTGTAACTGTGTGTGTAACTGTGTGACTGTGTGTGTAATTGTGTGACTGTGTGTGTAACTGTGTGTGTGTGTGTAACTGTGTGTAACTGTGTGTGTGTGTGTAACTGTGTGTGTGTGTAACTGTGTGTGTGTGACTGTGTGTGTGTAACTGTGTGTGTGTGTGACTGTGTGTGTGTGTGACTGTGTGTGTGTAACTGTGTTTGTGTGTGACTGTGTGTGTGTAACTGTGTGTGTGTAACTGTGTGTGTGTGTGTGTGTAACTGTGCGTGTAACTGTGTGTGTGACTGTGTGTGTGTGACTGTGTGTGTGTGTAACTGTGTGTGTGTGTGACTGTGTGTGTGTAACTGTGTGTGTGTGTGTGACTGTGTGTGTGTAACTGTGTGTGTGTGTGACTGTGTGTGTGTGTGACTGTGTGTGTGTAACTGTGTGTGTGTGTGTACCTGTGTGTGTGTGTGACTGTGTGTGTAACTGTGTGTGTGTGTGTGCGCGTGTCCAGACGCTGGGGCCCAAGAAGGAGAAGGAGGAGAAGAAGGGGGGAGGGGGCCGCCCGTCGCTGTTCCGTGACTACATCCTGAGGCCGGCCCAACGGGGTGGGGGCGACGGTCAGTCTGTGTGTGTGTGTGTGGGTCCACGTGTGTGTGTGTGGGTCCACGTGTGTGTGTGTGGGTCCACGTGTGTGTGTGTGTGGGTCCACGTGTGTGTGTGTGGGTCCACGTGTGTGTGTGTGTGTGGGTCCACGTGTGTGTGTGTGGGTCCACGTGTGTGTGTGTGTGTGTGGGTCCACGTGTGTGTGTGTGTGTGTGGGTCCACGTGTGTCTGTGTGTGTGGGTCCACGTGTGTGTGTGGGTCCACGTGTGTGTGTGGGTCCACGTGCGTGTGTGGGTCCACGTGTGTGTGTGTGTGTGTGTTGGTCCACGTGTGTGTGGGTCCACGTGTGGATCCACGTGTGTGTGTGTGTGTGTGGGTCCACGTGTGTGTGTGCGTGGGTCCACGTGTGTGTGCGTGGGTCCACGTGTGTGTGCGTGGGTCCACGTGTGTGTGTGTGGGTCCACGTGTGTGTGTGTGTGGGTCCACGTGTGTGGGTGTGTGTGGGTCCACGTGTGTGTGTGTGTGTGTGGGTCCACGTGTGTGTGTGTGTGTGGGTCCACGTGTGTGTGTGTGTGGGTCCACGTGTGTGTGTGTGTGGGTCCACGTGTGTGTGGGTGTGTGTGGGTCCACGTATGTGTGTGTGTGGGTCTACGTGTGTGTGTGTGGGTCCACGTGTGTGTGTGTGTGTGGGTCCACGTGTGTGTGTGTGTGTGGGTCCACGTGTGTGTGGGTGTGTGTGGGTCCACGTGTGTGTGTGTGTGTGTGGGTCCACGTGTGTGTGTGTGGGTCCACGTGTATGTGTGTGTGTGTGTGGGTCCACGTGTGTGTGTGTGGGTCCACGTGTGTGTGTGTGGGTCCACGTGTGTGTGTGTGTGTGGGTCCACGTATGTGTGTGTGTGAGTCCACGTGTGTGTGTGTGTGTGGGTCCAGGTGTGTGTGTGTGGGTCCAGGTGTGTGTGTGTGTCTGTGTGTGTGTGTCTGTGTGGGTCCACGTGTGTGTGTGGGTCCACGTGTGTGTGTGTGTGTGGGTCCACGTGTATGTATGTGTGTGTGTGGGTCCACGTGTGTGTGTGTGTGTGTGGGTCCACGTGTGTGTGTGTGGGTCCACGTGTATGTGTGTGTGGGTCCACGTGTGTGTGTGGGTCCACGTGTGTGTGTGTGTGTGGGTCCACGTGTGTGTCCACGTGTGTGTCCACGTGTGTGTCTGTGTGGGTCCACGTGTGTGTGTGGGTCCACGTGTGTGTGTGTGTGGGTCCACGTGTGTGTGTGTGTGTGGGTCCACGTGTGTGTGTGTGGGTCCACGTGTATGTGTGTGTGTGGGTCCACGTGTGTGTGTGTGTGGGTCCACGTGTGTGTGTGTGGGTCCACGTGTGTGTGTGTGTGTGGGTCCACGTGTATGTGTGTGTGTGGGTCCACGTGTGTGTGTGTGTGTGTCGGTCCACGTGTGTGTGTGTGTGGGTCCACGTGTGTGTGTGTGTGTGGGTCCATGTGTGGGTCCACGTGTATGTGTGTGTGTGTGGGTCCACGTGTATGTGTGTGTGTGTGTGGGTCTACGCGTGTGTGTGTCTGTGTGTGGGTCCACGTGTGTGTGTGTGTGTGGGTCCACGTGTATGTGTGTGTGTCGGTCCACGTGTATGTCTGTGTGTGTGTGGGTTTACGCGTGTGTGTGTCTGTGTGTGGGTCCACGTGTGTGTGTGTGTGGGTCCACGTGTATGTGTGTGTGTGTCGGTCCACGTGCATGTGTGTGTGTGTGTGTGGGTCTACGCGTGTGTGTGTCTGTGTGTGGGTCCACGTGTGTGTGTGTGTGGGTCCACGTGTGTGTGTGTGTGGGTCCACGTGTGTGTGTGTGTGTGTGTCGGTCCACGTGTGTGTGTGTGTCGGTCCACGTGTGTGTGTGTGTGGGTCCACGTGTGTGTGTGTGTGTGGGTCCACGTGTGTGTGTGTGTGTGGGTCCACGTGTGTGTGTGGGTCCACGTGTGTGTGTGCGTGGGTCCACGTGTGTGTGTGTGCGTGTGTGTGTGTGTGGGTCCACGTGTGTGTGTGCGTGTGTGTGGGTCCACGTGTGTGTGTGTGTGGGTCCACGTGTGTGTGGGTCCACGTGTGTGTGTGGGTCCACGTGTGTGTGTGTGTGGGTCCACGTGTGTGTGGGTCCACGTGTGGATCCACGTGTGTGTGTGTGTGTGGGTCCATGTGTGTGTGTGTGGATCCACGTGTGTGTGTGTGTTGTGGATCCACGTGTGTGTGTGGGTCCACGTGTGTCTGCTACAGCAGAGGTGTAGTGAATTCCAACAAGACCTACATCTCTGCTTCATTGACCTGGTCAAGCCCTATGATACCATCAGTAGGCTTGGGCTCTGGGTTGTTCTTCGTGCTTTCGGAGTCCTTGACTCTATTCTCACGATCATTAAGGACCTTTATGATGGTGAGCAGGCCCAGGTAAAACTACGTGGCCTGGAGTCAGAGCCATTCCCTGTACACCTTGGGGTGCGACAGGGATGTCCTCTGGCTCCCACATTATTTAACATCTATTTTGACCACGTAGTTCATGAAGCCTTCAATAGCTGTACCGGGGGAATCTCCATTTGGTACAGATATAATGGGAGGCTGATCGATGCCCGGGTGCGGTCAAGGGATGGCTCCCTATTGCTCAACCACGTTATGTATGCCGATGATTTGGTAATTGCTGCTCATTCAGAGGAGGAGTTGGAGACGCTGCTGCTGAGACTGGAACGTGCCACTAAGAGATGGGTGCCTTACCATCAGCCCCACCAAAACTAAGCACCTGCCTGGGTATTTTGTACCATCGGACACTCCACCCCCACAAGTCCCAATCAGTGATGGGGCAGTTGTGGAGAGAGTGGAGAGTTTCCCATACCTGGGCAGTGTGCTTATGACCGGCTCCAGTTTCACAGCAGAGGTCTCGCTCCGAATCATTTGAGCGCCATCGTCTTTTCGTCGGCTGCCTGACGCTCTGCGGAAGCTTCCCGGTCTGAAACGACGGAGGCCAGAGGAGCGTCGCTCACAGGGCCACAGACTCAACACCGCAGCAGCCACCGTGTGGCCCAGTTATGACGCTGTTGTTGTTGTTGTGCGTGAGTCGGGGTGCATGGAACGCCACAGCACGACGCAAGTAGAGCATCGTGGGTTCCCCGGTTAAAAATCGCGCCCACCAGGTAGTCACCTGGTGATCCCTGTGGGGACCAGAGTGGTCCCTTCAAGTGGAATGGAGCTCAGAGGTAGCTCTTTGATATCCACTTCCGTGGGCTGATCTGTGGGGACCAGAGTGGTCCCTTCAAGTGGAATGGAGCTCAGAGGTAGCTCTTTGATATCCACTTCCGTGGGCTGATCTGTGGGGACCAGAGTGGTCCCTTAAAGTAGAATGGAGCTCAGAAGTAGCTCTTTGATATCCACTTCCGTGGGCCGATCTGTGGGGACCAAAGTGGTCACTTCAAGTAGAATGGAGCTCAGAGGTAGCTCTTTGATATCCACTTCTCAGAAGTAGCTCTTTGATATCCACTTCTCAGAGGTAGCTCTTTGATATCCACTTCTCAGAGGTAGCTCTTTGATATCCACTTCTCAGAAGTAGCTCTTTGATATCCACTTCTCAGAGGTAGTTCTTTGATATCCACTTCTCAGAGGTAGCTCTTTGATATCCACTTCTCAGAAGTAGCTCTTTGATATCCACTTCTCAGAAGTAGCTCTTTGATATCCACTTCTCAGAGGTAGCTCTTTGATATCCACTTCTCAGAGGTAGCTCTTTGATATCCACTTCTCAGAAGTAGTTCTTTGATATCCACTTCTCAGAGGTAGCTCTTTGATATCCACTTCTCAGAAGTAGCTCTTTGATATCCACTTCTCAGAGGTAGCTCTTTGATATCCACTTCTCAGAAGTAGCTCTTTGATATCCACTTCTAAGAGGCAGCTCTTTTATATCCACTTCTCAGAGGTAGCTCTTTGATATCCACTTCTCAGAGGTAGCTCTTTGATATCCACTTCTCAGAAGTAGCTCTTTGATATCCACTTCTCAGAAGTAGCTCTTTGATATCCACTTCTCAGAGGTAGCTCTTTGATATCCACTTCTCAGAGGTAGCTTTTTGATATCCACTTCTCAGAGGTAGTTCTTTGATATCCACTTCTCAGAGGTAGCTCTTTGATATCCACTTCTCAGAGGTAGCTTTTTGATATCCACTTCTCAGAGGTAGTTCTTTGATATCCACTTCTCAGAGGTAGCTCTTTGATATCCACTTCTCAGAAGTAGCTCTTTGATATCCACTTCTCAGAGGTAGCTCTTTGATATCCACTTCTCAGAAGTAGCTCTTTGATATCCACTTCTCAGAGGTAGCTCTTTGATATCCACTTCTCAGAAGTAGCTCTTTGATATCCACTTCTCAGAGGTAGCTCTTTGATATCCACTTCTCAGAAGTAGCTCTTTGATATCCACTTCTAAGAGGCAGCTCTTTGATATCCACTTCTCAGAGGTAGCTCTTTGATATCCACTTCTAAGAGGCAACTCTTTGATATCCACTTCTCAGAGGCAACTCTTTGATATCCACTTCTCAGAGGTAGCTCTTTGATATCCACTTCTCAGAAGTAGCTCTTTGATATCCACTTCTCAGAAGTAGCTCTTTGATATCCACTTCTCAGAGGTAGCTCTTTGATATCCACTTCTCAGAGGTAGCTCTGCGAGAGCTCCCAACGGATTCCTGATCGTGGGACTACCCCTAGGTCGACTCGGCCTCAAAAGGAGTGCCCTGGTGCGGTTGCGTGTAAGACGTCAGCACCGGGGGGGATACAAAGACGGCCGGGCGGACGCGCGACGCCGGCCGCCGTGCCGGCATGCACTCGACAGCGCTTGCCCCGGCAGTCCGTTGAAGGCTACCTGGGGGACCTTTGTCTCCCCGCAGGGCAAGGGAGCAGCGTGGCGAGCATGGTGCGCCAGTTCGAGCCGGTGCCGGGGGGAGGGGCCGGGGGCTTCGAGGGGGGGGGGCCTGGAGCTGGGATCAACGGGGGACCTGGGGGAGACGCGGGGGGGCGGCAGAGAGTACGCGCACACACACACACGTACACACACACGTACACACACACACACGTACACACACACGTACACACACACACGTACACGTACACACACACACGCACACACACACACACGTACACACACACACGTACACACACGTACACACACGTACAAAGACAAAGATCCCCCATATAGCCTTAACAGACTGTAGGGGCAAGTGCTGTTAGCGAGCACCTACGAAGGCCGGAACGGTACACAAGGGGGTGGGTGGCCAGCACCACGCACGACCGCCTTTGTCTCCCCAGTGGCGATGTTTACACACCGCACCAGGCACTCATTTGAGGCTGAGTCGACCTAGGGGAGGCCCGGGACCGGTTCAGATAATCGTCACTGGTGTTGGCCGTGAGCGGGAATCGAACCCGGGTCGCCAGGTTCATAGCGCAGCGCGCTAACCGCTACACTACCGCTCCCCACACACACGTACACACACACACACACGTACACACACACACACGTACACACACGTACACACACACACGTACACACACACGTACACACACGTACACGTACACACACACACGTACACACACACGTACACACACACACACGCACACACACGTACACACACACACGTACACACACGTACACACACACACACGCATACGCACGCACACACACACACGTACACATGCACGCACACACGTACACACGCACACGCACGCACACACGTACACACGCACATACACACGCACACACACACTCACACACACGCAAGCACGCACGCACACACACGCACGCACACACACACGTACACACGCACGCACACATGTACACACGCACGCACACACGTACACAAGCACGCACACAAGCACACACGCACACACACACGCACACACGCACGCACACACGTACGCACGCACGCATGTACCCATGTACGCACGCACACACGCAACGCACGCATGTACCCACGCACCCATGCACACACGTACACACGTATGCACGTACACTACCCACCCCCTCTTGCTCCATGCCGGCTTTCGTAGGTGCTCGCGAACAGCACTTGCCGCAAGCCGGAGGACCTTTGTCTTTGTGTGCCTGCAGGTCGGGCGGTTTGCGAGTGGGCCGCTCGGAGAGCCTGCGGGCCATCGATGGCGGCCGCCGCTCCCCCGGCTCCTCCTCGCGCTCCAAGAGTGACATCGACAGGGAGGCCGCCATGGAGGCCACGGCGCGCATGGGGCCCCCCCCCACGCCAACACCCAGGTGGTACAGCCCATCTTATCACCCCCGCTCACGTGCACCCAGGTGGTACAGACCATCTTATCACCCCCGCTCACGTGCACCCAGGTGGTACAGACCATCTTATCACCCCCGCTCACGTGCACCCAGGTGGTACAGCCCATCTTATCACCCCCGCTCACGTGCACCCAGGTGGTACAGACCATCTTATCACCCCCGCTCACGTGCACCCAGGTGGTACAGCCCATCTTATCACCCCCGCTCACGTGCACCCAGGTGGTACAGACCATCTTATCACCCCCGCTCACGTGCACCCAGGTGGTACAGCCCCTCTTATCACCCCCGCTCACGTGCACCCAGGTGGTACAGACCATCTTATCACCCCCGCTCACGTGCACCCAGGTGGTACAGCCCATCTTATCACCCCCGCTCGCGTGCACCCAGGTGGTACAGCCCATCTTATCACCCCCGCTCACGTGCACCCAGGTGGTACAGACCATCTTATCACCCCCTGCTCACTTGCACCCAGGTGGTACAGCCCATCTTATGCTCCCCCCACGATCACACCTAAGTGGTACAGCCCATCTTAACACCCCTACACCCAGGTGGTATAACCCATCTTATCACCCCCCCCTCACTTTGCACCCAGGTGGTACAGCCCTTGTGAACACTCCTCCACCCAGGTGGTACAGCCCTTGTGAACACTCCTCCACCCAGGTGGTACAGCCCTTGTGAACACCCCTCCACCCAGGTGGTACAGCCCTTGTGAACACCCCTCCCCCAGGTGGTACAGCCCTTGTGAACACTCCTCCACCCAGGTGGTACAGCCCTTGTGAACACCCCTCCACCCAGGTGGTACAGCCCTTGTGAACGCCCCTCCACCAAGGTGGTACAGCCCACCGCATGGGGGCTACTTGGTTGTGACTCCGTGGTGCCGCTGTGTTGTTGTTCCGCAGGACGCCCGGAGACGTGACGCCACCTCGCACCCCTCGCAGCTGGCGCAGGTACCTGTGGACATCGCCATCATCGTCACCGTCATCGTCACCATCATCGTCACCATCGTCATCGTCACCATCATCACCATCATCATCGTCACCATCATCGTCACCATCATCATCGTCACCATCATCGTCACCATCGTCATCGTCACCATCATCATCATCGCTATCGTCGCCATCGCCATCATCGTCGCCATCGTCACCATCGCTATCGTCACCATCGCCATCGTCACCATCACCATCATCGTCACCATCGCCACCATCGTCACCATCGCCATCATCGTCACCGTCCTTATCGTCATCGTCACCGTCATCATCGTCACCATTATCGTCACCATCACCATCGTCACCATCACCATCATCACCATCGTCACCATCGCCATCATCGTCACCATCATCGTCACCATCATCGTCACCATCATCGTCACCATCGTCATCGTCACCATCATCATCATCGCTATCGTCGCCATCGCCATCATCGTCGCCATCGTCACCATCGCTATCGTCACCGTCGCCATCGTCACCATCACCATCATCGTCACCATCGCCACCATCGTCACCATCGCCATCATCGTCACCGTCCTTATCGTCATCGTCACCGTCATCATCGTCACCATCGTCACCATTATCGTCACCATCGCCATCGTCACCATCACCATCGTCACCATCGTCACCATCGCCACCATCGTCACCATCATCGTCACCATCATCGTCACCATCGTCACCATCGCCACCATCGTCACCATCGTCACCATCATCGTCACCATCATCGTCACCATTATCGTCACCATCGCCATCGTCACCATCATCATCATCACCGTCATCATCGTCACTGTCGCCATTGTCACCATCATCACCATCATCATCGTCACCGTCGTCACCATCGTCATGATCACCATCATTACCATCAAAGCTATCATCATAATTACCACCACCATCATCACTGTCACTATTGTCATTGTTACCATCATCACCATCATCAAACTCGCTGCCATCACCACCGTCATGATTGCCGCCATCATCATTGTTGTCATCATCACCACACACGCACGCACACGCACACACACGCACACACACGCACACACACGCACACACACGCACACACACGCGCACACACACGCACGCACACACACGAACGCACACACACGAACGCACGCGCACACACGCGCACGCACACACACGCACACACACGCACACACACACACACACGCGCAAACACGCGCGCGATGATGCCGAGCGTCTGACCACAGCGATCGGCCAACCGCCGGCGCCCGCTTTCCGTGCCGCCCCCGGCGGGCGCCGCCGCCGCCTCGCTCCGGCTTCGCCGCCGTGCCCCCACGCTCATCGTCCGTGAGCCGCCGACCTCGGCCCGCGTGGCCCGGGCCGGCAGATCCCCGCGGCTCGGCCTCTCTGCCTCACCACGAGAGGCCGCCGCCGCCGCCGTCGCCGGCCCGCGGGCCGCCCCTCCGCCCGCCGGGCAGTGGCCGGGCGGCGGCAAGGGAGGGAGTTTGTCAGCCCCATCTGTGGGCGGTCCACCAACCCCCGCCGCTGTCTTGTTTGCGGCGCCGGGCCAGAGCGGCCGCTTGCCGGCGGCGGCGTGAGATTATAAATAGAATATAAAAATATAAAATCCACACCGGCCCTGACGCCGCTGCCGCTGCCGCCGCTGCCGCTGCCGCCGCCGCTGCCGCCGCTGCTGCCGCTGCTGCCGCTGTATATTTGGAGTTTGAGTCTCTCCCTCTCTCCCTCCCCGCGGCCACGTGGATTTTTCTGCGGTTTTCCCCTCCACGTTTAGAGTCGGCGTCGCCGCACGCGACGACGACGACGATGATGACGACGACGACGATGACGACGATGATGACGACGATGACGATGACGACGATGAGGACGACGATGACGATGACGACGTTGACGACGATGCTGAGCCGCTCGTTTGAGCCGTCGTCGTTTGCTGTGGCCACGCAGCAACTCGGTGGCTCCTTGCCCAGGTAGAATGAAGAACGAGTCGCGGGACACGGAGCGCCGGGGTTGCCACGGCGGCGGTGGCGGCGGTGCCGCCGGGCCCGGCCGTTGCCAGCGGTGGCACCGCGAGTTTGTGATAAAAATAAACTCGTGAGACGTCCACATCGATCCATGGATAGCCAAGAGGACGGTCGAGCAGAGACGCCCTGCGGTGTTCCTGTGCCACGGTGTTCCTGTGCCACGGTGTTCCTGTGCCACGGTGTTCCTGTGCCACAGTGTTCCTGTGCGACGGTGTTCCTGTGCCACGGTGTTCCTGTGCCACGGTGTTCACGCCCTGCGGTGTTCCTGTGCCACGGTGTTCCTGTGCCACGGTGTTCCTGTGCCACGGTGTTCCTGTGCCACGGTGTTCCTGTGCCACGGTGTTCCTGTGCCACGGTGTTCCTGTGCCACGGTGTTCCTGTGCCACGGTGTTCACACCCTGCGGTGTTCCTGTGCCACGGTGTTCCTGTGCCACGGTGTTCCTGTGCCACGGTGTTCACGCCCTGCGGTGTTCCTGTGCCACGGTGTTCCTGTGCCACGGTGTTCCTGTGCCACGGTGTTCCTGTGCCACGGTGTTCCTGTGCCACGGTGTTCCTGTGCCACGGTGTTCCTGTGCCACGGTGTTCCTGTGCCACGGTGTTCCTGTGCCACGGTGTTCCTGTGCCACGGTGTTCACACCCTGCGGTGTTCCTGTGCCACGGTGTTCCTGTGCCACGGTGTTCCTGTGCCACGGTGTTCACGCCCTGTGGTGTTCCCGCCCTGTGGTGTTCCCGCCCTGCGGTGTTCCTGTGCCACGGTGTTCCCGCCCTGCGGTGTTTTTGTGCCACGGTGTTCCTGTGCCACGGTGTTCACACCCTGCGGTGTTCCTGTGCCACGGTGTTCCCGCCCTGCGGTGTTCCTGTGCCACGGTGTTCCCGCCCTGCGGTGTTTCCGTGCCGTCGATGGTGACTCTCCCCCGGCCTGTTTGGGGGTTTCCCTCCTTCAGGGCCTGGTCAACTTCTTCGTCTTCTGGACTAACCGGATCCTCCTCCTCCGCACCAGAAAAGTAGTTCCCCCTCCCCCCCTCCGCCGCTTCGCTCCCTCGTGGCCTCCGTGTCGTCATCGTCGTCATCGTCGCTTCTCCGTCTGTGTTCCGTGTGCCCGGGATGGGGGGCTGGGGGGGGGGGCTGGGGGGGGGCTGGGGGGGGGGCTCGCTTGCGTTGGTGCCCTGTGTCTTGTCGCTGGGGCACGGCAATGCTTCTCGTTTTGTCCGAGCATTGCTGATGATCCTGCTGACGATGACGACGCTGACGATGACGACGCTGACGATGACGACGCTGACGACGCTGACGATGACGACGCTGACGATGACGACGCTGACGATGACGACGCTGACGATGACGACGATGACGATGACGACGCTGACGACGATGACGACGCTGACGACGCTGACGGTGACAACGCTGACGGTGACGACGCTGACGGTGACGACGCTGACGACGATGACGCTGACGGTGACGACGCTGACGGTGACGACGCTGACGGTGACGACGCTGACGACGCTGACGATGACGACGCTGACGCTGACGGTGACGACGCTGACGACGCTGACGATGACGACGCTGACGATGACGACGCTGACGATGACGACGCTGACGATGACGACGCTGACGATGACGACGCTGACGCTGACGGTGACGACGCTGACGACGCTGACGATGACGACGCTGACGATGACGACGCTGACGATGACGACGCTGACGACGCTGACAACGCTGACGACGCTGACGCTGACGATGTTGACGACGCTGACGATTCTGCCGATTGTGGGTTTTGTGATTTTTTTTAAATTGCTGATCGTTGGGATATGTCGTCGCCGATTGTGAAATCATCGCTTGGGGGAGCTCACAAATCGAAGGGTGTCGCTCGCCAGGAGTCGGCGTGCGTGCGTGCGAGCGTGCGAGCGTGTGTGTGTGTGTGTGCGAGCGTGTGTGTGTGTGTGTGCGAGCGTGTGTGTGTGTGTGTGCGAGCGTGTGTGTGTGTGTGTGTGCGAGCGTGTGTGTGCGTGTGTGCGTGCGTGTGTGTGCGTGCGTGTGTGTGCGAGCGTGCGTGCGTGTGTGTGTGCGTGTGTGCGAGCGTCTGTGCGTGCGTGCGTGCGTGTGTGTGTGTGTGCGTGTGTGTGCGAGCGTGCGTGCGTGCGTGTGTGTGTGTGTGTGTGCGTGTGTGTGCGAGCGTGCGTGCGTGTGTGTGTGCGTGCGTGTGTGTGCGAGCGTGCGTGCGTGTGTGTGTGCGTGTGTGCGAGCGTGTGTGTGTGTGTGTGTGCGTGTGTGCGAGCGTTTGTCCGTGCGTGCGTGTGTGCGTGTGTGTGTGCGTGTGTGCGAGCGTGTGTGTGTGCGTGTGTGCGAGCGTTTGTCCGTGCGTGTGTGTGTGCGTGTGTGTGTGCGTGTGTGCGAGCGTGCGTGTGCGTGTGTGTGCGTGCGTGTGTGTGCGAGCGTGCGTGTGCGTGTGTGCGTGTGTGCGAGCGTGCGTCCGTGCCAACGCAGCGGCGGTCCGCCTCGCTGGGGAGCGGCCGTCGACGGTGGTCGCGACCGCTGCCGCGCGACGGCTTTACCGCGCTTCACCGCGCTTCACCGCGCTTCACCGCGCTTCACCGCGCTTCACCGCGCTTTACCGCGTGCCGGCCGGCGGTGAATCTGGGTCGCCCGGGCCGGCGGCGGAGCGGCGAGCCGACCGACGCGCCACCGCTCCCTTGATCTAAATGTAACATCGCCAGCCCGTTAGCATGCCGTTGACATGTCAGTAGCATGCCGTTGACATGTCAGTAGCATGCCGTTGACATGTCAGTAGCATGCCGTTGATATGTCAGTAGCATGCAATTAGCATGCGACGTGCATGCACGCGCGTGGCCCTGATGGCAATCCGCTGATGGACGTTGGCCCCTCCCTGACGACACACGAGTGAGAGTGTGAGAGTGTGAGAGTGTGTGAGAGTGAGTGTGAGAGTGTGAGAGTGTGAGAGTGTGAGAGTGTGTGTGTGAGAGTGTGTGTGAGAGTGTGTGTGTGAGAGTGTGTGTGTGTGAGAGTGTGTGTGTGAGAGTGTGTGTGTGTGCCGGAGGCCCCGGGGGGCCAGGCGTCTATGACGTCTCCTGGCCAAACCCCAATTGGCGGAGCCAGGAGATTGAATACCTACCCTCGGGGCTACTCCAGAAACAACGAAAAGCCACTACGGTTGGCCACGTGGAATGTTCGAACGCTCACTGCAGAGGAGAGGCTGCCACTCCTCTGTCGGGAGCTGGACCGGTACCGCCTGGATCTTTGCGGCATTCAGGAGGTCCGGTGGACCGGCTCTGGCTCCTGCCACCATGAGGGGTGGACAGTCCTCTGCTCGGGGCAGCAGACTGCCAAACAACAGGGTGTGGGTCTTCTTTTGAACAAAAGAATGAAGGGGGCGTGGGAGCGTGGCGGTGAGGTGTGGGAAGCTGTAAGCCCCAGGCTACTTTGGGCTCGCCTTCCCATCAACCGGAGGCGAGGAATGGTGGTCGTGGTTACTTATGCCCCCACCGAAGATGAACATCCGTGGAGGGATGCAGGCAAAGCCGATGAGTCAGATGCCTTCTATGACCTCCTGTCACAGGTGCTGGCTAAAGTGGCCCCTCGGGATAGAGTCATCATGTTGGGTGACTTCAATGCCCGAGTTGGTCATGATACTGGCACCTGGTCTGGAGTGATTGGAGGGCATGGGCCAGATCAGCTCAATAACAACGGTAGGAGGCTGCTAGATTTTTGTGCAGCCCATGGGCTTGTAATTACCAACACGCTGTTCCGGCATCGGCGCATCCACACAACATCATGGATGCATGCCGGGTCCAAGCAAGAACATCTGCTGGACTACATAGTGACGGACCAGCGAATGCGAGCCCATGTCCTTGACACCAGGACCTACCGTGGAGCTGATCTGCCCTCTGACCATCGACTAGTCATCTGTAAGATGCGCCTGCCATTCTTCCACTCCGGTGGTGGGTGTACACCCAGGACCCCATTCCAACCTAAAGTGGCCTGGTCTCAGTTATCTGATGAAAGTTGCAAGCGAGAATTTCATCATCGCTTGCGGCTGGGATTGGCATCGTCCCCGACTCCTCCTGATGTCGAGGGTAAATGGGCGAGGTTTAGGACTGTGACTCATGCAGCTGCAATGGCTGCTTTGGGTACGCGGTCCAGACCTCCCCAGACACCCTGGATGACAGAGGAGTTGTTCACGATGGTTGAGAAAAAGCGACAGGCCCACTGTCATCGGCTACAGAATCCCACGTCAGAGAATGAGGAGGCTTACCGCAGCCTTCGCTCGGAGGTTCGGAGAGCCGTGAGGCGCTGCAAGGATGGGTGGTGGTCGCGGGTTGCTGAGGAGATGGAGTCTGCCTCAGTGGCCCGTGATCACAAATCTCTATTTAACTCCATCAAAAAAGTAACCTGCAGCGCCACACCTATAACCATCATTAGGGGAAAAAACGGTGATCCAATTTCCGACCCCCAGGAACAGGTTCGCAGATTTGCTGAGCATTTCTGTGAGGTCCTGGGGGAGGGAAAATCCCTCAGCCAGGAAAACATCGTGGCACAAAGTGAGGATGACCCTGCTGAGGCTGCGGTGCCTCAAATATTGGATGAAGTCACCCCCTGTGAGTGGCTGGCTGAGGTGCCATCTGCTGAGGAAGTATTGAAGGCGATCCGGAGTCTGAGACCAGGAAAGGCAGCGGGCAGAGATGATCTCCCAAGCGAAATGCTGAGGGAGGGTGGCGTTTGTGCACAGACTGCCCTATATGACATCATAACAACAGTCTGGACCACTGGACGGGTTCCGCAGGATTGGAAGGATGCCCTGGTGGTCCCCCTTTTTAAGAAGGGGGACCGCACAGACTGTAACAACTACAGGGGCATCTCACTCCTCAGTGTGCCGGGAAAGGTCCTGGCAAGGATTATTCAGCATCGCCTTGCCAGGCACGCTGAGGAGAGGCTTGCGGAGCCCCAATGCGGTTTCAGGAAAGGGCGGTCCTGCACAGATGCCATATTTTCTGTCCGTCTGCTACAGCAGAGGTGTAGGGAATTCCAACAAGACCTACATCTCTGCTTTATTGACCTGGTCAAGGCCTATGATACCATCAGTAGGCCTGGGCTCTGGGTCGTTCTTCGTGCTTTTGGAGTACCTGACCCTCTGCTCACGATCATAAAGGACCTTCATGATGGTGAGCGGGCCCGGGTAAAACTACGTGGCCGGGAGTCAGAGCCATTCCCTATACACCTTGGGGTGCGACAGGGATGTCCTCTGGCTCCCACATTATTTAACATCTATTTTGACCACGTAGTTCGTGAAGCCTTCAATAGCTGTACCGGGGGAATCTCCATATGGTACAGATATAATGGGAGGCTAATCGATGCCCGGGTGCGGTCAAGGGATGGCTCCCTATTGCTCAACCACGTTATGTATGCTGATGATTTGGTAATAGCTGCTCAGTCAGAGGAGGAGTTGGAGACGCTGCTGCTGAGACTGGAGCGTGCCACTAAGAGGTGGGGCCTTACCATCAGCCCCACCAAAACTAAGCACCTGCCTGGGTATTTTGTACCATCGGACACTCCACCCCCACAACTCCCAATCGGTGATGGGGCAGTTGTGGAGAGAGTGGAGAGTTTCCCATACCTGGGCAGTGTGCTTATGACTGGCTCCAGTTTAACAGCAGAGGTCTCACTCCGAATCAGTCGAGCGGCAATATCTTTTCATCGGTTGCATAACGCTGTGTGGAAGCTACCTGGTCTGTCGCTCCGCACTAAGCTTCAGGTCTTCTCGGCCACGGTCATTCCCTCCCTTCTCTACGCTTGCGAAACGTGGACCCCCCTAATGGAACATCTTCGCCGGTTAGAAACATTTAGGCTGGCCTGCCTACGATCCATCCTGGGTTTAACCAGACTGGATTGTGTGAGGAGCTCACAAATCCTTGAAAGATCTGGGCAGGGTCCCATCGGTGAGCTCCTCCGGCAGGCAAGGCTGCGATGGCTGGGTCATGTAGCCCGCATGCCCAGCCACCGCATGCCGAAACAGCTTTTGTTTGGCCGGATTGAGGGGGCTAAGCGGGCGCGGCACGGGCTAGAGAAGAGATGGAGTGATGTGGTACAGGAGGACGTGGAGCTGAGTGGACTTGCCGATGACTGGTACCAGCGGTGTCAAGATCGGCTTCTGTGGAGGAGGCTCGTGAAGGATGCTACTGGGCAGTTGGAGGCAGTCGCCCTCCAACAACAACGGAGGGCGGAGGAGCGACGCTCACAACAGCGAGCGGAGCGCCGGGTGGCTAAAGCACAGCAGGTTGGCACAGTAGGGGGCACAGGTGGTGCATCAGCCAGTTATCTCAGTCAGTCGACCCGTGGCACCTGGGTCTGCCCCGTGACCTCCTGCCAGCGGGCGTTCGACACTTCACGTGGCCTCAGGGTGCACATAGCCTGGCACAAGCGTCGTGGTGACGTCACCGCCACTTAGTGGCGAATGGCGGTTGTTGTTGTTGTGTGTGAGAGTGTGTGTGTGTGAGAGTGTGTGTGTGAGAGTGTGTGTGTGAGAGTGTGTGTGTGTGTGAGAGTGTGTGTGTGTGTGAGAGTGTGTGTGTGTGTGAGAGTGTGTGTGTGTGTGTGAGAGTGTGTGTGTGAGAGTGTGTGTGAGAGTGTGTGTGTGTGTGAGTGTGTGAGTGTGAGTATGTGACAGTGAGTGTGTGAGTGTGTGTGAGAGTGTGTGTGTGTGAGAGTGTGTGTGTGTGAGAGTGTGTGTGTGAGAGTGTGTGTGTGAGAGTGTGTGTGTGAGAGTGTGTGTGTGTGAGAGTGTGTGTGTGTGAGAGTGTGTGTGTGAGAGTGTGTGTGAGAGTGTGTGTGAGAGTGTGTGTGTGTGTGAGAGTGTGTGTGTGAGAGTGTGAGTGAGAGTGTGAGTGAGAGTGTGAGTGAGAGTGTGAGAGTGTGTGTGAGAGTGTGTGTGTTAGAGTGTGTGTGAGCGTGTGTGTGTGAGAGTGTGTGTGTGAGAGTGTGAGTGAGAGTGTGTGTGAGAGTGTGAGTGAGAGTGTGTGTGAGTGTGTGAGAGTGTGAGAGTGTGTGTGTGAGAGTGTGTGTGTGAGAGTGTGAGGGAGAGTGTGAGTGAGAGTGTGTGTGAGAGTGTGAGAGTGTGAGAGTGTGAGTGAGTGAGAGTGTGAGTGAGTGAGAGTGTGAGTGAGTGAGAGTGTGAGTGTGTGAGAGTGTGTGTGTGTGAGAGTGTGAGTGAGAGTGTGAGAGTGAGTGAGAGTGTGAGTGAGAGTGTGAGTGAGAGTGTGAGAGTGTGTGTGAGAGTGTGTGAGAGTGTGAGTGAGAGTGTGAGTGAGATTGTTAGTGTGTGAGTGAGAGTGTGAGTGTGTGAGTGAAAGTGTGAGTGTGTGTGAGTGAGAGTGTGTGAGTGAGTGTGTGAGAGTGTGTGAGAGTGTGAGAGTGTGTGTGTGAGAGTGTGTGTGTGAGAGTGTGTGTGAGAGTGTGAGAGTGTGTGTGTGAGAGTGTGTGTGAGAGTGTGAGAGTGTGAGAGTGTGTGAGAGTGTGTGTGTGAGAGTGTGTGAGAGTGTGTGTGAGTGTGTGAGAGTGTGAGTGAGAGTGTGAGAGTGTGAGTGAGTGAGAGTGTGAGAGTGTGAGTGAGAGTGTGAGAGTGTGAGTGAGAGTGTGAGTGTGTGTGAGTGAGAGTGTGTGAGTGAGTGTGTGAGAGTGAGAGTGTTTGTGAGAGTGTTTGTGAGTGTGTGTGTGTGAGAGTGTGAGTGAGAGTCTAAGTGTGATTGAGTGTGAGTGATTGAGTGAGTGAGTGAGAGTGTGAGAGTGTGAGTGTTTGTGAGAGTGTGAGTGAGAGTGTGAGTGTCTGAGTGAGAGTGAGAGTGTTTGTGAGAGTGTTTGTGAGAATGTTTGTGAGTGAGTGTGTGAGAGTGTTTGTGAGAGTGTTTGTGAGAGTGTGAGTGAGAGTGTGAGTGAGTGTGTGAGAGTGTTTGTGAGAGTGTTTGTGAGAGTGTGTGTGAGAGTGTGAGTGAGAGTCTAAGTGTGATTGAGTGTGAGTGATTGAGTGAGTGAGTGTGTGAGTGATTGAGTGTGAGTGAGAGTCTAAGTGTGAGTGAGTGTGAGTGAGTGAGTGTGAGTGAGTGTGAGTGAGTGAGTGTGAGTGTTTGTGAGAGTGTGTGTGAGAGTGTGAGTCTAAGTGTGATTGAGTGATTGAGTGAGTGAGTGAGAGTGTGAGAGTGTGAGTGTTTATGAGAGTGTGAGTGTGAGTGTCTGAGTGAGAGTGAGAGTGTTTGTGAGAGTGTTTGTGAGAGTGTTTGTGAGTGAGTGTGTGAGAGTGTTTGTGAGAGTGTTTGTGAGAGGGAGAGTGTTTGTGAGAGTGTTTGTGAGAGTGTTTGAGAGTGTGTGTGAGAGTGTTTGTGAGAGTGTGTGTGAGAGTGTGAGTGAGAGTCTAAGTGTGATTGAGTGTGAGTGATTGAGTGAGTGAGTGTGAGTAAGAGTGTGAGTGATTGAGTGTGAGTGAGTGTAAGAGTGTGAGTGAGTGAGTGTGTGAGTGATTAAGTGTGAGTGAGAGTCTAAGTGTGAGTGAGTGAGTGTGAGTAAGAGTGTGAGTGATTGAGTGTGAGTGAGTGTGAGTGAGAGTGTGAGTAAGAGTGTGAGTGATTGAGTGTGAGTGAGTGTGAGTGAGTGAGTGTGAGTAAGAGTGTGAGTGATTGAGTGTGAGTGAGTGTGAGTGAGTGATTGAGTGAGTGAGTGTGAGTGAGAGTGTGAGTAAGAGTGTGAGTGAGTGAGTGTGAGTGTGTGAGTGATTGAGTGTGAGTCTAAGTGTGAGTGAATGTGAGTGAGTGAGTGTGAGTGAGTGTGAGTGAGAGTGTGAGTAAGAGTGTGAGTGATTGAGTGTGAGTGAGAGTGTGAGTAAGAGTGTGAGTGAGTGTGAGTGTGTGAGTGATTGAGTGTGAGTCTAAGTGTGAGTGAGTGTGAGTGAGTGAGTGAGAGTGTGAGTAAGAGTGTGAGTGAGTGTGAGTGAGTGAGTGTGAGTGAGTGAGAGTGAGTGAGAGTGTGAGTAAGAGTGTGAGTGATTGAGTGTGAGTGAGTGTGAGTAAGAGTGTGAGTGAGTGAGTGTGAGTGTGTGAGTGATTGAGTGTGAGTAAGAGTGTGAGTGAGTGTGAGTGAGTGAGTGTGAGTGAGTGAGAGTGAGTGAGAGTGTGAGTAAGAGTGTGAGTGATTGAGTGTGAGTGAGTGTGAGTAAGAGTGTGAGTGAGTGTGAGTGAGAGTCTAAGTGTGAGTGAGTGAGTGAGTGTGAGTGAGAGTCTAAGTGTGAGTGAGTGAGTGAGTGTGAGTGAGTGTGAGTGAGTGAGTGTGAGTAAGAGTGTGAGTGAGTGATTGAGTGTGAGTGAGTGTGAGTAAGAGTGTGAGTGAGTGTGAGTGAGTGTGAGTGAGAGTCTAAGTGTGAGTGAGTGTGAGTGAGTGAGTGTGAGTGAGTGTGAGTGAGAATCTAAGTGTGAGTGAGTGAGTGTGAGTGAGTGTGAGTGAGTGTGAGTGAGTGAGTGTGAGTGAGTGTGAGTGAGTGAGTGTGAGTGTGAGTGAGTGAGTGTGAGTGAGTGTGAGTGAGTGAGTGTGAGTGAGTGTGAGTGAGTGTGAGTGAGAGTCTAAGTGTGAGTGAGTAAGTGTGAGTGAGTGTGAGTGAGTGTGAGTGAGTGTGAGTGAGTGAGTGTGAGTGAGTGTGAGTGAGTGTGAGTGAGTGAGTGTGAGTGAGTGAGTGTGAGTGAGTGATTGTGAGTGAGTGAGTGTGAGTGAGTGTGAGTGTGAGTGAGTGTGAGTGAGTGATTGTGAGTGAGTGAGTGTGAGTGAGTGAGTGATTGTGAGTGAGTGAGTGTGAGTAAGAGTGTGAGTGAGTGAGTGTGAGTAAGAGTGTGAGTGAGTGTGAGTGAGTGTGAGTGAGTGTGAGTGAGTGATTGTGAGTGAGTGTGAGTGAGTGATTGTGAGTGTAAGTAAGAGTGTAAGTAAGAGTGTGAGTAAGAGTGTGAGTGAGTGAGTGGTGCGTGACGGTTCCCTCCCCCTCCCCCACGTAGGCCAGACGACGCGGCATCTGTATCCTCGTCGCAGTCTTCCTCCACCTCGTCGTCGTGGTCCGGAGTGCCGCCGGCGTTTGGCGACGAGGTGGCGCTGGGCCCCGACGAGGACCTGGAGGTGGAGGCCGAGGCTCCGCACTGGCAGCTGCAGCTCAAGCCCGAGCAGCTGGCACGGCTGGGCAAGCAGGAGGTCAAGCGGCAGGACGTCATCAACGGTGAGCGGGGGGGGGGCACGGGGGGGCACGGGGGGGCACGGGGGGGGCACGGGGGGGGCACGGGGGGGGGGCACTTGCCCCAACAGTCTGTTTAGGCTATACGGGGAATCTTTGTGTGTGTGTACGTGTGTGTGTGTGTGTGTACATGCGTGTGTGTGTACGTGTGTGTGTGTGCGTGTGTGTGTGACTGTGTGTGTGCGTGTGTGTGTAACTGTGTGTGTACGTGTGTGTGACTGTGTGTGTGCGTGTGTGTGTGACTGTGTGTGTGTACGTGTGTGTGTGTGACTGTGTGTGTGTGACTGTGTGTGTGTACGTGTGTGTGTGTGTACGTGTGTGTGTACGTGTGTGTGTGTGACTGTGTGTGTGTACGTGTGTGTGTGTGTACGTGTGTGTGTGTGTGTACGTGTGTGTGTGTGTGTACGTGTGTGTGTGTGTGTACGTGTGTGTGTGTGTGTACGTGTGTGTGTGTGTACGTGTGTGTACGTGTGTGTGTGTGTGTACGTGTGTGTGTGTGTACGTGTGTGTGTGCGTGCAGAGCTGCTGCACACGGAGCGTGCCCACGTGCGCATGCTCAAGGTGCTCAAGGCGCTGTTCTGCGACCGCCTGCTGCAGCATGGCGTCGCGTCCGAGGCCGAGGTGCGGCAGATCTTCCCCAACCTCGACGCGCTGCTGCCTCTCCACGGTGAGGGACCTCGCTCGCTCGCTCACTCGCTCAGTCACTCGCTCAGTCACTCACTCGCTCAGTCACTCGCTGGCTCAGTCACTCACTCAGTCACTCACTCAGTCACTCGCTCAGTCACTCACTCAGTCACTCGCTCGCTCAGTCACTCGCTGGCTCAGTCACTCGCTCAGTCACTCAGTCACTCACTCAGTCACTCACTCGCTCGCTCAGTCACTCACTCAGTCACTCACTCGCTCGCTCAGTCACTCACTCAGTCACTCGCTCGCTCAGTCACTCACTCAGTCACTCACTCACTCACTCAGTCACTCACTCGCTCGCTCAGTCACTCACTCAGTCACCCGCTCGCTCAGTCACTCACTCAGTCACTCGCTCGCTCACTCACTCACTCACTCGCTCGCTCAGTCACTCGCTCAGTCACTCGCTCAGTCACTCGCTCAGTCACTCGCTCGCTCACTCACTCGCTCGCTCAGTCACTCGCTCGCTCAGTCACTCGCTCGCTCAGTCACTCGCTCGCTCACTCACTCACTCACTCGCTCAGTCACTCGCTCAGTCGCTCGCTCGCTCAGTCACTCAGTCACTCGCTCGCTCAGTCACTCGCTCGCTCAGTCACTCAGTCACTCGCTCGCTCAGTCACTCGCTCGCTCACTCACTCACTCACTCGCTCAGTCACTCGCTCAGTCGCTCGCTCGCTCAGTCACTCACTCGCTCGCTCAGTCACTCGCTTGCTCAGTCACTCGCTCGCTCAGTCACTCGCTCAGTCACTCACTCGCTCAGTCACTCGCTCGCTCGCTCAGTCACTCGCTCAGTCGCTCGCTCGCTCAGTCACTCACTCGCTCGCTCAGTCACTCGCTCAGTCACTCACTCGCTCAGTCACTCGCTCGCTCACTCAGTCACTCGCTCGCTCAGTCACTCGCTCGCTCAGTCACTCGCTCAGTCACTCGCTCGCTCAGTCACTCGCTCGCTCAGTCACTCGCTCAGTCACTCGCTCGCTCAGTCACTCGCTCACTAACTCACTCGCTCAGTCACTCACTCGCTCGCTCACTCATTAACTCGCTCGCTCACTCGCTCAGTCACTCGCTCGCTCACTCGCACAGTCACTCGCTCGCTCACTCACTCGCTCGCTCACTCACTAACTCATTGTCACTCGCTCGCTCACTAACTCGCTCAGTCACTCGCTCGCTCAGTCACTCGCTCGCTCAGTCACTCGCTCGCTCACTCACTAACGCGCTCAGTCACTCGCTCACTAACTCGCTCACTAACTCGCTCAGTCACTCGCTCGCTCTGTCACTCACTCACTCAGTCGCTCGCTCACTCATTCACTCGCTCGCTCATTCACTAACTCGCTCAGTCACTCGCTCGCTCAGTCACTCACTCACTCACTCAGTCGCTCGCTCACTCATTCACTCGCTCGCTCATTCACTAACTCGCTCAGTCACTCGCTCGCTCACTCACTCGCTCGCTCACTCGCTCGCTCAGTCACTCGCTCGCTCACTCACTCGCTCGTTCACTCGCTCGCTCAGTCACTAGCTCGCTCGCTCACTCGCTCAGTCACTCGCTCGCTCAGTCACTCGCTCACTCACTCGCTCACTAACTCGCTCAGTCACTCACTCACTCAGTCACTCGCTTGCCTGCTTACTCACTCACTCATTAACTCGCTCACTTGCTCAGTCACTCGCTCAGTCACTCGCTCGCTCGGTCACTCACTCGCTCACTCACTCGCTCAGTCACTTGCTCGCTCACTCACTCGCTCAGTCACTCGCTCGCTCGCTCAGTCACTCGCTCGCTCGCTCACTCACTCGCTCAGTCACTCGCTCGCTCGCTCACTCACTTGCTCAGTCACTCGCTCGCTCACTCACTCGCTCAGTCACTCGCTCACTCGCTCAGTCACTCGCTCGCTCACTCGCCCAGTCACTCGCCCAGTCACTCACTCACACACTCAGTCACTCACTCACCCACCCACTCACTCACCCACCCACCCACCCACTGACTCACCCACTCACTTCCTCACTCGCTCGCCCAGTCACTCGCTCAGTCCCAGCACGTGACGTGAGGACTCCCAGCACGTGACGTGAGTGAGTCCCACCACGTGACGTGTGTGAGTCCCACCACGTGACGTGTGTGAGTCCCAGCACGTGACGTGTGTGAGTCCCACCACGTGAGTGAGTGAGTCCCACCACGTGACGTGAGTGTGTCCCACCACGTGACGTGTGTGAGTCCCAGCACGTGACGTGTGTGAGTCCCACCACGTGAGTGAGTCCCACCACGTGACGTGAGTGAGTCCCACCACGTGACGTGAGTGAGTCCCACCACGTGACGTGAGTGTGTCCCACCACGTGTGTGAGTCCCACCACGTGACGTGTGTGAGTCCCACCACGTGACGTGAGTGAGTCGCAGCACGTGACGTGAGTGTGTCCCACCACGTGACGTGAGTGTGTCCCACCACGTGACGTGAGTGAGTCCCACCACGTGACGTGAGTGAGTCCCACCACGTGACGTGAGTGAGTCCCACCACGTGACGTGAGTGAGTCCCAGCACGTGACGTGAGTGAGTCCCACCACGTGACGTGAGTGAGTCCCACCACGTGACGTGAGTGAGTCCCACCACGTGACGTGAGTGAGTCCCACCACGTGACGTGAGTGAGTCCCAGCACGTGACGTGAGTGAGTCCCAGCACGTGACGTGAGTGAGTCCCAGCACGTGACGTGAGTGTGTCCCACCACGTGACGTGAGTGAGTCCCACCACGTGACGTGAGTCCCACCACGTGACGTGAGTGAGTCCCACCACGTGACGTGAGTGTGTCCCACCACGTGACGTGTGTGAGTCCCAGCACGTGACGTGAGTGAGTCCCAGCACGTGACGTGAGTGAGTCCCACCACGTGACGTGAGTGTGTCCCACCACGTGACGTGTGTGAGTCCCACCACGTGACGTGAGTGTGTCCCACCACGTGACGTGTGTGAGTCCCACCACGTGACGTGAGTGAGTCCCACCACGTGACGTGAGTGAGTCCCACCACGTGACGTGAGTGAGTCCCACCACGTGACGTGAGTGAGTCCCAGCACGTGACGTGAGTGAGTCCCACCACGTGACGTGAGTGAGTCCCACCACGTGACGTGTGTGAGTCCCACCACGTGACGTGAGTGAGTCCCACCACGTGATGTGTGTGAGTCCCACCACGTGACGTGAGTGAGTCCCACCACGTGACGTGTGTGAGTCCCACCATGTGACGTGAGTGAGTCCCACCACGTGACGTGAGTGAGACCCACCACGTGACGTGAGTGAGTCCCACCACGTGACGTGAGTGAGTCCCACCAGGTGACGTGAGTGAGTCCCAGCACGTGACGTGTGTGAGTCCCACCAGGTGACGTGAGTGAGTCCCAGCACGTGACGTGTGTGAGTCCCACCATGTGACATGAGTGAGTCCCAGCACGTGACGTGAGTGAGTCCCACCACGTGACGTGAGTGAGTCCCACCACGTGATGTGTGTGAGTCCCACCACGTGACGTGAGTGAGTCCCAGCACGTGACGTGTGTGAGTCCCACCATGTGACATGAGTGAGTCCCAGCACGTGACGTGAGTGAGTCCCAGCTCGTGTGTGAGGAGTCCCAGCACGTGACGTGAGTGAGTCCCAGCTCGTGTGTGAGTGAGTCCCACCACGTGACGTGAGTGAGTCCCACCACGTGACGTGAGTGAGTCCCACCACGTGACGTGAGTGAGTCCCACCACGTGACGTGCGTGAGTCCCACCACGTGACGTGTGTGAGTCCCACCACGTGACGTGAGTGAGTCCCACCACGTGACGTGTGACGTGACGTGAGTGAGTCCCACCACGTGACGTGAGTGAGTCCCACCATGTGACGTGAGTGAGTCCCAGCACGTGACGTGAGTGAGTCCCACCATGTGACGTGAGTGAGTCCCACCACGTGACGTGAGTGAGTCCCACCACGTGACGTGAGTGAGTCCCAGCTCGTGACGAGTGTGAGTCCCACCACGTGACGTGTGTGAGTCCCACCACGTGACGAGTGTGAGTCCCACCACGTGACGTGAGTGAGTCCCACCACGTGACGTGTGTGAGTCCCACCACGTGACGTGAGTGAGTCCCACCACGTGACGTGAGTGAGTCCCACCACGTGACGTGTGTGAGTCCCAGCACGTGACGTGAGTGAGTCCCAGCACATGACGTGAGTGAGTCCCACCACGTGACGTGAGTGTGTCCCACCACGTGACGTGTGTGAGTCCCACCACGTGACGTGAGTGAGTCCCACCACGTGACGTGAGTGAGTCCCAGCACGTGACGTGAGTGAGTCCCAGCACGTGACGTGAGTGAGTCCCACCACGTGACGTGTGTGAGTCCCACCACGTGACGTGAGTGAGTCCCACCACGTGACGTGAGTGAGTCCCACCACGTGACGTGAGTGAGTCCCAGCACGTGACGTGTGTGAGTCCCACCACGTGACGTGTGTGAGTCCCACCACGTGACGTGAGTGAGTCCCAGCACGTGACGTGAGTGAGTCCCACCACGTGACGTGAGTGAGTCCCACCACGTGACATGAGTGAGTCCCAGCACGTGACGTGAGTGAGTCCCACCACGTGACGTGAGTGAGTCCCACCACGTGACGTGAGTGAGTCCCAGCACGTGACGTGAGTGAGTCCCAGCACGTGACGTGAGTGAGTCCCAGCACGTGACGTGAGTGAGTCCCACCACGTGACGTGAGTGAGTCCCACCACGTGACGTGAGTGAGTCCCACCACGTGACGTGTGTGAGTCCCAGCACGTGACGTGAGTGAGTCCCAGCACGTGACGTGAGTGAGTCCCAGCACGTGACGTGAGTGAGTCCCACCACGTGACGTGAGTGAGTCCCAGCACGTGACGTGAGTGAGTCCCACCACGTGACGTGAGTGAGTCCCACCACGTGACATGAGTGAGTCCCAGCACGTGACGTGAGTGAGTCCCACCACGTGACGTGAGTGAGTCCCAGCACGTGACGTGAGTGAGTCCCAGCACGTGACGTGAGTGAGTCCCAGCACGTGACGTGAGTGAGTCCCACCACGTGACGTGAGTGAGTCCCACCACGTGACATGAGTGAGTCCCAGCACGTGACGTGAGTGAGTCCCACCACGTGACGTGAGTGAGTCCCAGCACGTGACGTGAGTGAGTCCCAGCACGTGACGTGAGTGAGTCCCAGCACGTGACGTGAGTGAGTCCCAGCACGTGACGTGAGTGAGTCCCAGCACGTGACGTGAGTGAGTCCCAGCCCGTGACGTGAGTGAGTCCCAGCACGTGACGTGAGTGAGTCCCAGCACGTGACGTGAGTGAGTCCCACCACGTGACGTGAGTGAGTCCCACCACGTGACATGAGTGAGTCCCACCACGTGACGTGAGTGAGTCCCAGCACGTGACGTGAGTGAGTCCCACCACGTGACGTGAGTGAGTCCCACCACGTGACGTGTGACGTGACGTGAGTGAGTCCCAGCTCGTGACGAGTGTGAGTCCCACCACGTGACGTGAGTGAGTCCCAGCACGTGACGTGAGTGAGTCCCACCAGGTGACGTGAGTGAGTCCCACCACGTGACGTGAGTGAGTCCCAGCACGTGACGTGAGTGAGTCCCAGCACGTGACGTGAGTGAGTCCCACCACGTGACGTGAGTGAGTCCCAGCTCGTGTGTGAGGAGTCCCAGCACGTGACGTGAGTGAGTCCCACCATGTGACGTGAGTGAGTCCCACCACGTGACGTGAGTGAGTCCCAGCACGTGACGTGCGTGAGTCCCACCACGTGACGTGAGTGAGTCCCACCACGTGACGTGAGTGAGTCCCACCACGTGACGTGAGTGAGTCCCACCACGTGACATGTGTGAGGACTCCCAGCATGTGACGTGAGTGAGTCCCACCACGTGACGTGAGTGAGTCCCACCACGTGACGTGTGTGAGTCCCACCACGTGACGTGAGTGAGTCCCACCACGTGACGTGAGTGAGTCCCACCACGTGACGTGAGTGAGTCCCACCACGTGACGTGAGTGAGTCCCAGCACGTGACGTGAGTGAGTCCCACCACATGACGTGAGTGAGTCCCACCACGTGACGTGAGTGAGTCCCACCACGTGACGTGAGTGAGTCCCACCACGTGACGTGAGTGAGTCCCACCACGTGACGTGAGGACTCCCAGCTCGTGACGTGAGTGAGTCCCACCACGTGACGTGAGTGAGTCCCAGCTCGTGACGTGTGTGAGTCCCAGCTCGTGACGTGAGTGAGTCCCAGCACGTGACGTGAGTGAGTCCCACCACGTGACGTGAGTGAGTCCCAGCACGTGACGTGAGTGAGTCCCACCACGTGACGTGAGTGAGTCCCACCACGTGACGTGAGGACTCCCAGCTCGTGACGTGAGTGAGTCCCACCACGTGACGTGAGTGAGTCCCAGCTCGTGACGTGAGTGAGTCCCAGCTCGTGACGTGAGTGAGTCCCAGCTCGTGACGTGAGTGAGTCCCAGCTCGTGACGTGAGTGAGTCCCAGCACGTGACGTGAGTGAGTCCCACCACGTGACGTGAGGACTCCCAGCTCGTGACGTGAGTGAGTCCCACCACGTGACGTGAGTGAGTCCCAGCTCGTGACGTGTGTGAGTCCCAGCTCGTGACGTGAGTGAGTCCCAGCACGTGACGTGAGTGAGTCCCACCACGTGACGTGTGTGAGTCCCACCACGTGACGTGAGTGAGTCCCAGCTCGTGACGTGTGTGAGTCCCAGCTCGTGACGTGAGTGAGTCCCACCACGTGACGTGAGTGAGTCCCACCACGTGACGTGAGTGAGTCCCACCACGTGACGTGAGGACTCCCAGCTCGTGACGTGAGTGAGTCCCACCACGTGACGTGAGTGAGTCCCACCACGTGACGTGAGTGAGTCCCAGCTCGTGACGTGTGTGAGTCCCAGCTCGTGACGTGAGTGAGTCCCAGCACGTGACGTGAGTGAGTCCCACCACGTGACGTGTGTGAGTCCCAGCTCGTGTGTGAGGAGTTCCAGCACGTGACGTGAGTGAGTCCCAGCTCGTGACGTGTAACGTGACGTGAGTGAGTCCCACCACGTGACGTGAGTGAGTCCCACCACGTGAAGTGTAACGTGACGTGAGTGAGTCCCACCACGTGACGTGAGTGAGTCCCACCACGTGACGTGTGACGTGACGTGAGTGAGTCCCACCACGTGACGTGAGTGAGTCCCACCACGTGACGTGTGACGTGACGTGAGTGAGTCCCACCACGTGATGTGTGACGTGACGTGAGTGAGTCCCAGCTCGTGACGCACGTCAGGGGAAAGTTCTCCCAGCCGGTGCCGGGCCTCCCCCTCGGTGCGTGCCGACGCTCTCTTCGCGGCACTTGCCCCGGCGGCGTTGAAGGCTACACGGGGCACCTTTGTCTTTGCAGAGTCTCTGAATGTGGCCATGAAGAAGCTGAAGGAGAACGAGCCCCTGGTGGATGGCGTAGGAGACGCCCTGTTAGCCAGGGTGGGGGACGCCACCCACTCAGTCACTCACCCAGTCACTCATCCAGTCACTCACCCAGTCACTCAGCCAGTCACTCACCCACTCAGTCACTCAGTCACTCACCCAGTCACTCACCCAGTCACTCAGCCAGTCACTCACCAAGTCACTCACCCAGTCACTCACTCAGTCACTCACCCAGTCACTCACCCACTCACTCGCCCAGTCACTCGCCCAGTCACTCACTCACACACTCAGTCACTCACCCAGTCACTTACCCACTCACTCACCCACTCAGTCACTCACCCAGTCACTCACCCACTCACTCACCCACTCACTCACCTACTCAGTCAGTCACTCACCCAGTCACTCACCCAGTCACTCACTCACCCACTCACTCACCCACTCAGTCACTCACCCACTCAGTCAGTCACTCACCCAGTCACTCACCCACTCACTCACCCACTCAGTCACTCACCCAGTCACTCACCCACTCACTCACCCACTCAGTCACTCACCCAGTCACTCACCCACTCACTCACCCACTCACTCACCCACTCAGTCACTCACTCAATCACTCAGTCACTCACTCACTCACTCACCCACTCAGTCACTCACTCAGTTACTCACTTTATTCACTCACTCACCCACTCAGTCACTCACTCAGTTACTCACTCACTCGCCCAGTCACTCACTCAGTCAGTCACTCACCCACCCAGTCACTCACCCACTCACTCACCCACTCAGTCAGTCACTCACCCAGTCACTCACCCAGTCACTCACCCACTCAGTCACTCACTCACTCACACACTCAGTTACTCACTCACTCAGTCACTCACTCACTCACACACTCACTCACTCACTCACACACTCACTCACTCACACACTCAGTTACTCACTCACTCAGTCACTCACTCACTCACACACTCACTCACTCACACACTCAGTTACTCACTCACTCAGTCACTCACTCACTCACACACTCACTCACTCACACACTCACTCACTCACACACTCACACACTCACTCACTCACACACTCACTCACTCACACACTCACTCACTCACACACTCAGTTACTCAGTCACTCAGTCACTCACTCACTCACACACTCACTCACTCACACACTCAGTTACTCACTCACTCACACACTCACTCACTCACACACTCACTCACACACTCACTCACTCACACACTTAGTTACTCACTCACTCAGTCACTCACTCACTCACACACTCACTCACTCACACACTCAGTTACTCACTCACTCACACACTCACTCACTCACACACTCAGTTACTCACACACTCACACACTCACTCACTCACACACTCACTCACACACTCAGTTACTCACTCACTCGCCAAGTCACTTGTCCAGTCACTCACTCAGTCACTCACTCAGCTGCTCCGGTTTCAGCTGCCCCTCCCGCCCCTCCCCCCCGGGCCCCCCCGTGCCCCCCCCCCCCCCGTGTAGTTTGCGGGTGTGGCTGGCGAGGCCCTGCAGGCGGAGGCCGCTGTGTTCTGTAGCCAGCAGTCGCTGGCCCTGGACATCATCAAACAGCGGCAGCGCAAAGACGCTCGCTTCCAGCAGTTCATACAGGTGGGGGGGCGTGTTGGTGTGTCACGTGGTGTGTCACGTGGTGTGTCACGTGGTGGTGTGACGTGCTGTGTGTGACGTGGTGTGTGACGTGCTGTGTGTCACGTGGTGTGACGTGGTGTGTGGTGTGTGACGTGGTGTCACGTGGTGTGTCACGTGGTGTCACGTGGTGTCACGTGGTGGTGTGACGTGCTGTGTGTGACGTGGTGTGTGACATGGTGTGTGACGTGCTGTGTGACGTGCTGTGTTGCGTGCTGTGTGTCACGTGGTGTCACGTGGTGGTGTGACGTGTTGGTGTGTCACGTGGTGTGTCACGTGGTGTCACGTGGTGTCACGTGGTGTCACGTGGTGGTGTGACATGGTGTGGTGTGTGGTGTGTGACGTGGTGTCACGTGGTGGTGTGACGTGCTGTGTGATGTGCTGTGTGACGTGCTGTGTCACGTGGTGTGTGACGTGGTGGTGTGACGTGGTGTGGTGTGTGGTGTGTGACGTGGTGTCACGTGGTGTGACGTGCTGTGTGACATGCTGTGTGACATGCTGTGTGACGTGGTGGTGTGACGTGGTTGTGTGACGTGGTGTGTGACGTGCTGTGTGACGTGGTGGTGTGACGTGGTGTGTGACGTGGTGTTGTTACGTGGTGTTGTGACGTGGTGGTGTGACGTGGTGGTGTGACATGGTGTGTGACGTGGTGGTGTGACGTGGTGGTGTGACGTGGTGTGTGACGTGGTGGTGTGTAACGTGTTGTGACGTGGTGTGTCACGTGCTGTGTGACGTGGTGGTGTGACGTGGTGTGTGACGTGGTGTCACGTGGTGGTGTGACGTGCTGTGTGATGTGCTGTGTGACGTGCTGTGTCACGTGGTGTGTGACGTGGTGGTGTGACGTGGTGTGGTGTGTGGTGTTTGACGTGGTGTCACGTGGTATGACGTGCTGTGTGACGTGCTGTGTGACGTGCTGTGTGATGTGGTGGTGTGACGTGGTTGTGTGACGTGGTGTGTGACGTGCTGTGTGACGTGGTGGTGTGACGTGGTGTGTGACGTGGTGTTACGTGGTGTTGTGACGTGGTGGTGTGACGTGGTGGTGTGACATGGTGTGTGACGTGGTGGTGTGACGTGGTGGTGTGACGTGGTGTGTGACGTGGTGGTGTGTAACGTGTTGTGACGTGGTGTGTCACGTGCTGTGTGACGTGGTGGTGTGACGTGGTGTGTGACGTGGTGTCACGTGGTGGTGTGACGTGCTGTGTGATGTGCTGTGTGACGTGCTGTGTCACGTGGTGTGTGACGTGGTGGTGTGACGTGGTGTGGTGTGTGGTGTTTGACGTGGTGTCACGTGGTATGACGTGCTGTGTGACGTGCTGTGTGACGTGCTGTGTGATGTGGTGGTGTGACGTGGTTGTGTGACGTGGTGTGTGACGTGCTGTGTGACGTGGTGGTGTGACGTGGTGTGTGACGTGGTGTTGTTACGTGGTGTTGTGACGTGGTGGTGTGACGTGGTGGTGTGACATGGTGTGTGACGTGGTGGTGTGACGTGGTGGTGTGACGTGGTGTGTGACGTGGTGGTGTGTAACGTGTTGTGACGTGGTGTGTCACGTGCTGTGTGACGTGGTGGTGTGACGTGGTGTGTGACGTGGTGTCACGTGGTGGTGTGACGTGCTGTGTGATGTGCTGTGTGACGTGCTGTGTCACGTGGTGTGTGACGTGGTGGTGTGACGTGGTGTGGTGTGTGGTGTTTGACGTGGTGTCACGTGGTATGACGTGCTGTGTGACGTGCTGTGTGACGTGCTGTGTGATGTGGTGGTGTGACGTGGTTGTGTGACGTGGTGTGTGACGTGCTGTGTGACGTGGTGGTGTGACGTGGTGTGTGACGTGGTGTTACGTGGTGTTGTGACGTGGTGGTGTGACGTGGTGGTGTGACATGGTGTGTGACGTGGTGGTGTGACGTGGTGGTGTGACGTGGTGTGTGACGTGGTGGTGTGTAACGTGTTGTGACGTGGTGTGTCACGTGCTGTGTGACGTGGTGGTGTGACGTGGTGTGTGACGTGGTGTCACGTGGTGGTGTGACGTGCTGTGTGATGTGCTGTGTGACGTGCTGTGTCACGTGGTGTGTGACGTGGTGGTGTGACGTGGTGTGGTGTGTGGTGTTTGACGTGGTGTCACGTGGTATGACGTGCTGTGTGACGTGCTGTGTGACGTGCTGTGTGATGTGGTGGTGTGACGTGGTTGTGTGACGTGGTGTGTGACGTGCTGTGTGACGTGGTGGTGTGACGTGGTGTGTGACGTGGTGTTACGTGGTGTTGTGACGTGGTGGTGTGACGTGGTGGTGTGACATGGTGTGTGACGTGGTGGTGTGACGTGGTGGTGTGACGTGGTGTGTGACGTGGTGGTGTGTAACGTGTTGTGACGTGGTGTGTCACGTGCTGTGTGACGTGGTGGTGTGACGTGGTGTGTGACGTGGTGTCACGTGGTGGTGTGACGTGCTGTGTGATGTGCTGTGTGACGTGCTGTGTCACGTGGTGTGTGACGTGGTGGTGTGACGTGGTGTGGTGTGTGGTGTTTGACGTGGTGTCACGTGGTATGACGTGCTGTGTGACGTGCTGTGTGACGTGCTGTGTGATGTGGTGGTGTGACGTGGTTGTGTGACGTGGTGTGTGACGTGCTGTGTGACGTGGTGGTGTGACGTGGTGTGTGACGTGGTGTTGTTACGTGGTGTTGTGACGTGGTGGTGTGACGTGGTGGTGTGACATGGTGTGTGACGTGGTGGTGTGACGTGGTGGTGTGACGTGGTGTGTGACGTGGTGGTGTGTAACGTGTTGTGACGTGGTGTGTCACGTGCTGTGTGACGTGGTGGTGTGACGTGGTGTGTGACGTGGTGTTGTGATGTGGTGGTGTGACGTGGTCTGTGACGTGGTGTTGTGACGTGGTGGTGTGTGACCTGGTGTTGTGACGTGGTGTTGTGATGTGGTGTGTCATGTGGTGTGTGACGTGGTGGTGTGACGTGGTGGTGTGACGTGTTGTGACGTGGTGTTGTGCATGGTGTGTTACGTGGTGTGTGACGTGGTGGTGTGACGTGGTGTTGTGACGTTGTGGTGTGACGTGGTGTGTGACGTGGTGTTGTGACGTGGTGGTGTGACGTGGTGTGTGACGTGGTGTTGTGACGTGGTGGTGTGTAACGTGGTGTTGTGACGTGGTGTGTCACGTGGTGTGTGATGTGGTGGTGTGACGTGGTGGTGTGACGTGGTGTTGTGCATGGTGTGTCACGTGGTGTGTGATGTGGTGGGGTGACGTGGTGTGTGACGTGGTGTGTAACGTGGTATTGTGACGTGGTGTTGTGACGTGGTGGTGTGACGTGGTGGTGTGACGTGGTGGTGTGACGTGGTGTTGTGACGTGGTGGTGTGACGTGGTGGTGTGACGTGGTGGTGTGACGTGGTGTTGTGACGTGGTGTTGTGACGTGGTGTGTGACGTGTTGGTGTGTCACGTGGTGTGTGACGTGGTGTGTAACGTGGTGTGTGACATGGTGGTGTGACGTGGTGTGTAACGTTGTGGTGTGACGTGGTGGTGTGACGTGGTGTGCGGTGTTGTGCGTGTTCAGGATGCGGAGAGCAACCCTCACTGCCGCCGGCTGCAGCTCAAGGACTTCCTGCCGTGTGAGATGCAGAGACTCACCAAGTACCCTCTCCTGCTGGACAAGATCGCCAAGTACACGGCCGGTATGACACGCTCGCTCACCACTCGCTCACCACTCGCTCGTCACTCCCTCGCTCACCACTCGCTCGCTCACCACTCGCTCACCACTCACTCACCACTCGTTCGCTCACCACTCGCTCGCCACTCGCTCGCTCACCACTCGCTCACCACTCACTCACCACTCGTTCGCTCACCACTCGCTCGCCACTCGCTCACCACTCGCTCACCACTCGCTCAACACTCGCTCACCACTCGCTCAACACTCGCTCGTCACTCGCTCGCTCACCACTCGCTCACCACTCACTCACCACTCGTTCGCTCACCACTCGTTCGTCACTCGCTCACCACTCGCTCGTCACTCGCTCACCACTCGCTCGCCACTCGCTCACTCACCACTCACTCACCACTTGCTCACCACTCACTCACCACTCGTTCGCTCACCACTCGCTCGTCACTCGCTCACCACTCGCTCGTCACTCGCTCACCACTTGCTCGCCACTCGCTCACTCACCACTCACTCACTACTTGCTCACCACTCGCTCACCACTCGCTCGCCACTCGCTCGTCACTCGCTCACCACTCACTCACCACTCGCTCGTCACTCCCTCGCTCACCACTCGCTCACCACTCGCTCACCACTCGCTCGTCACTCGCTCGCTCACCACTCGCTCACCACACGCTCAAAACTCGCTCACCACTCGCTCACCACGCGCTCACCACGCGCTCACCACGCGCTTACCACTCGCTCGCCACTCACTCGCTCACCACGCGCTCACCACTCACTCGCTCGCCACTCACTCGCTCACCACTCGCTCGCCACTCACTCGCTCACCACGTGCTCACCACGTGCTCACCACGTGCTCACCACTAGCTAGCCTGCGACGTGTGGTGCGTCTCGCGACCTTGTTGTTGCTGCTGCTGCTGCCTCCGCAGACTCCAGCCCCGAGCACGGCAAGGTGCAGCAGGCCAGCGAGTGCTGCAAGCGGATCCTGCTGTCCGTGAACACGGCCGTGCGGGAGGCGGAGAACGCACAGGTGACACACACACAGACACACATAGACACACACACAGACACACATAGACACACACACAGACACACATACACATAGACACACACACATACACACACACACATAGACACACACACAGACACACATACACACACACACAGACACACACACACATAGACACACACACATACACACACACACACACAGACACACACACACAGACACACACACATAGACACACACACATAGACACACACACAGACACACATACACACACACACACACAGACACACACACACAGACACACACACATAGACACACACACATAGACACACACACACACAGACACACACACACACATAGACACACACAGACACACACACACAGACACACACACACAGACAGACACACACACACAGACACACACACAGACACACACACACAGACACATACACACACACACAGACACACACACACAGACACACACACACAGACACACACACACAGACACACACACACAGACACACACACACACACACATAGACACACACACATAGACACACACACAGACACACACACACAGACACACACACACAGACACACACACACAGACACACACACACACACACAGACACACACACGCACACACACACACACAGACACACACACATAGACACACACACACAGACACACACACACAGACACACACACACAGACACACACACATAGACATACACACACACACACAGACACACACACACAGACACACACACACAGACACACACACATAGACACACACACACAGACACACACACACAGACACACACACACACATAGACACACACACATAGACACACACACAGACACACACACACAGACACACACACACACAGACACACACACACGCACACACGCACACACACACACACACAGACACACACACGCACACACAGACACACACAGGCACACACACACAGACGGACACACACACGCACACACAGACGCGCACACGTGGACGCACACACACAGACAAGACAAAGATCCCCCGTGTAGCCTTAACAGGCTGTAGGGGCAAGTGCTGTGAGCGAGCACCTTTAAAGGCCAGCACAGCACACGAGGGGGTGGGTGGCCAACACCGCGCCCGGCCGCCTTTGTCTCCCCAGTAGCGATGTTTACACACCGCACCAGGTACTCGTTTGAGGCCCAGGACCGGTGCAGATAATCGTCACTGGAGTTGGCCGTGAGCGGGAATCGAACCTGGGTCGCCGGGTTCACAGCGCAGCGTAGCGCTAACCACTACACTACCGCTCCCCACACACAGACACAGAGACACACGCACACAGACACACACGCACACAGACACGTACGCACACACGACGTACACGCCCGGACATACACGCGCACACACGCACACACGCACACGTACATTCACGTACACAGACACGCACGCACACACGCACACACGCAGACAAACGCACGCGTACTTATACGCGCGCACACACAGAGACGCACGCACATTTACACTCGCATAGAGACACCTACACACGGCCACGCAGCCATACACACAGCCATACACACAGCCATACACACAGCCATACACACAGTCATACACACAGCCATACACACAGCCATACACAGCCATACACAGCCATACACACAGCCATACACACAGCCATACACACAGCCATACACACAGCCATACACACAACCATACACACAGCCATACACAGCCATACACACAGCCATACACACAGCCATACACACAGCTATACACACAGCCATACACACAGCCATACACAGCCATACACACAGCCATACACACAGCCATACACACAGCTATACACACAGCCATACACACAGCCATACACACAGCCATACACACAGCCATACACACAGCCAATGCTGATGGTCTGAGTGAGACTCAGGGAGACCGGGTCTCAGGATCACAGTCTTGAGTGAGACTCAGGGAGACCGGGTCTCAGGGTCAGAGTCTTGAGTGAGACTCAGTGAGACCGGGTCTCAGGGTCAGAGTCTGAGTGAGACTCAGGGAGACCGGGTCTCAGGGTCAGAGTCTGAGTGAGACTCAGGGAGTCCGGGTCTCAGGGTCACAGTCTTGAGTGAGACTCAGGGAGACCGGGTCTCAGGATCACAGTCTTGAGTGAGACTCAGGGAGACCGGGTCTCAGGGTCAGAGTCTGAGTGAGACTCAGGGAGACCGGGTCTCAGGGTCACAGTCTTGAGTGAGACTCAGGGAGTCCGGGCCTCAGGGTCACAGTCTTGAGTGAGACTCAGGGAGACCGGGTCTCAGGGTCACAGTCTTGAGTGAGACTCAGGGAGACCGGGTCTCAGGGTCAGAGTCTGAGTGAGACTCAGGGAGACCGGGTCTCAGGGTCACAGTCTTGAGTGAGACTCAGGGAGACCGGGTCTCAGGGTCACAGTCTTGAGTGAGACTCAGGGAGTCCGGGCCTCAGGGTCACAGTCTTGAGTGAGACTCAGGGAGTCCCAGCTGATCGCTGCTGCACTGTGCCACTCACTGCGTGGCAGCGCCTGCAAGACTACCAACGCAGGATGGACGTCTCCCCGTTCCTGGAGAAGACGCAGTACCCCTACATTGCTGAGTTCAAGGTGGGCCCAACCCCACCCCCACCACCACCACCCCCACCACCACCACCACCCCCACCCCCACCACCACCCCCACCACCACCACCACCACCACCCCCACCCCCACCACCACCCCCACCACCACCCCCACCACCACCCCCACCACCACCATCACCACCACCAACACCACCACCACCACCCCCACCCCCACCACCTCCACCACCACCCCCACCACCACCCCCACCACCACCACCACCCCCACCACCACCCCCACCACCCCCACCCCCACCACCCCCACCACCACCACCACCCCCACCACCACCACCACCCACACCCCCACCACCACCACCACCCCCACCACCACCCCCACCACCACCCCCACCACCACCACCACCCCCACCACCACCCCCACCACCACCACCACCCCCACCACCACCCCCACCACCACCACCACCACCCCCACCACCATCACCGTGTGTCATCGTCACGCGTTGACGTCATTGACTGTCTTCTTTGGTTCTTTCGGTAAAGTCACCACGTAGAATGAGAATAAAATTCTAAATTGATAAAATAAAATAACACAATAATATTCTCACGACGTTTCGGCGACAACACAAGCGGCCTTCATCAGGTGAAGGGACGAGACTGTCTGGAGGACAGCGCTGGAGTGAAAAAGCCACGCTCAGATCACGACCTTTAAGCTGTGTGAGAAGAAACAAAGCGCCTTGACAAAGGAATTAGCATAGAATTTAGCATTGAAATGGCTCATTGAAATAGCTAAGTTAAAGTATACACATCCGCAGAGGTACCCCTTGACAAAGGAATTAGCATAGAATTTAGCATTGAAATAGCTGAGTGATTAGCTTGTAACTGGTCACAGAAATAGCTATGTGTGTAACTGTGTGTGTACGTGTGTGTGTGTAACTGTGTGTGTAACTGTGTGTGTAACTGTGTGTGTGTAACTGTGTGTGTGTGTAACTGTGTGTGTGTGTGTAACTGTGTGTGTAACTGTGTGTGTGTGTAACTGTGTGTGTGTGTAACTGTGTGTGTGTGTAACTGTGTGTGTAACTGTGTGTGTGTGTAACTGTGTGTGTGTGTAACTGTGTGTGTGTAACTGTGTGTGTATGTGTGTGTGTGTAACTGCGTGTGTATGTGTGTAACTGTGTGTGTAACTGTGTGTGTAACTGTGTGTGTGTAACTGTGTGTGTATGTGTGTGTAACTGTGTGTGTGTAACTGTGTGTGTGTGTAACTGCGTGTGTAACTGTGTGTGTGTGTAACTGCGTGTGTAACTGTGTGTGTGTGTAACTGTGTGTGTGTGTAACTGCGTGTGTATGTGCGTGTGTGTAACTGTGTGTGTGTAACTGTGTGTATGTGTGTGTGTGTAACTGTGTGTGTGTAACTGTGTGTGTGTGTATGTGTGTGTGTAACTGCGTGTGTGTGTATGTGTGTGTGTAACTGCGTGTGTATGTGTGTGTGTGTGTAACTGTGTGTGTAACTGTGTGTGTAACTGTGTGTATGTGTGTGTGTAACTGCGTGTGTGTAACTGTGTGTATGTGTGTGTGTGTAACTGCGTGTGTGTGTGTAACTGTGTGTGTAACTGTGTGTGTGTGTGACTGTGTGTGTGTGTAACTGTGTGTGTGTGTATGTGTGTGTGTAACTGTGTGTGTGTGTAACTGTGTGTGTGTGTAACTGTGTGTAACTGTGTGTAACTGTGTGTATGTGTGTAACTGCGTGTGTATGTGTACGTGTGTAGCTGTGTGTGTAACTGTGTGTGTATGTGTGTGTGTGTGTAACTGTGTGTAACTGTGTGTGTGTGTGTAACTGTGTGTGTGTGTAACTGTGTGTGTGTAACTGTGTGTGTGTGTGTAACTGTGTGTGTGTGTGTAACTGTGTGTGTATGTGTGTGTATGTGTGTGTGTAACTGTGTGTGTAATTGTGTGTGTGTGTCTGTGTGTGTATGTGTGTGTGTGTAACTGTGTGTGTGTGTGCGTAACTGTGTGTGTGTGTAACTGCGTGTGTATGTGTGTGTGTGTAACTGTGTGTGTATGTGTGTGTGTAACTGTGTGTGTAATTGTGTGTGTGTGTCTGTGTGTGTGTATGTGTGTGTGTGTAACTGTGTGTGTGTGTGTGTAACTGTGTGTGTGTGTAACTGTGTGTGTGTTGTGTAACCGTGTGTACGTGTGTAACTGTGTGTGTGTGTATGTGTGTGTAACTGTGTGTGTGTGTAACTGTGTGTGTATGTGTGTGTGTGTAACTGTGTGTGTGTGTAACTGTGTGTAACTGTGTGTGTGTGTAACTGTGTGTATGTGTGTGACTGTGTGTGTGTTGTGTAACTGTGTGTGTAACTGTGTGTGTGTGTATGTGTGTGTGTAACTGCGTGTGTATGTGTGTGTAACTGTGTGTGTAACTGTGTGTGTAACTGTGTGTAACTGTGTGTGTGTAACTGTGTGTATGTGTGTGACTGTGTGTGTGTAACTGTGTGTGTAACTGTGTGTGTATGTGTATGTGTGTAACTGTGTGTGTGTGTGTGTAACTGTGTGTGTGTGTGTAGAATCTGGACCTCACCAAGCGCAAGATGCTGCATGAGGGGCCGCTCACCTGGCGCCTTAACAAAGAGAAGACGCTTGGTGACTACACTCACCCTCACTCACCCTCACTCACCCTCACTCACCCTCACTCTCACCCTCACACTCACCCTCACACTCACCCTCACTCACACTCACCCTCACTCACCCTCACTCACCCTCACTCACCCTCACACTCACCCTCACTCACCCTCGCACTCACCCTCACTCACCCTCACTCACACTCACCCTCACTCACCCTCACTCACCCTCACTCACCCTCACCCTCACACTCACCCTCACACTCACCCTCACTCACCCTCGCACTCACCCTCACTCACCCTCACTCACACTCACCCTCACTCACCCTCACTCACACTCACCCTCACTCACCCTCACTCACCCTCACTCACCCTCACCCTCACTCACCCTCACTCTCACTCACCCTCACACTCACCCTCACTCACCCTCACACTCACCCTCACTCACCCTCACACTCACCCTCACTCACCCTCGCACTCACCCTCACTCACCCTCACTCACACTCACCCTCACTCACCCTCACTCACACTCACACTCACCCTCACTCACCCTCACTCTCACTCACCCTCACACTCACCCTCACTCACCCTCACACTCACCCTCACTCACCCTCACTCACCCTCACACTCACCCTCACACTCACCCTCACTCACCCTCACTCACCCTCACCCTCACTCACCCTCACACTCACCCTCACTCACCCTCACTCACCCTCACACTCACCCTCACACTCACCCTCACTCACCCTCACTCACCCTCACCCTCACTCACCCTCACTCACCCTCACACTCACCCTCACTCACCCTCACACTCACCCTCACTCACACTCACCCTCACTCACCCTCACTCACCCTCACCCTCACACTCACTCACCCTCACACTCACCCTCACTCACCCTCACACTCACCCTCACACTCCCCCTCACTCACCCTCACTCACCCTCACCCTCACTCACACTCACCCTCACTCACCCTCACACTCACTCACCCTCACTCTCACTCACCCTCACTCACCCTCACTCTCACTCTCACTCACCCTCACTCACCCTCACTCACCCTCACTCTCACACTCACTCACCCTCACCCTCACTCACCCTCAAACTCACCCTCACTCTCACTCACTCTCCCTCACACTCACCCTCACACTCACCCTCACTCACACTCACTCTCCCTCACACTCACTCACCCTCACTCTCACTCACCCTCACTCACCCTCACACTCACTCACACTCACCCTCACTCACCCTCACTCTGACACTCACCCTCACTCACCTTCACCCTCACACTCACCCTCTCACTCACCCTCACACTCACCCTCACTCACACTCACCCTCACTCACACTCACCCTCACTCACACTCACTCACTCTCACCCTTACTCACCCTCACACTCACCCTCACACTCACTCACACTCACCCTCACTCACCCTCACCCTCACTCACCCTCACTCACCCTCACCCTCACTCACCCTCACTCACCCTCACTCACCCTCACCCTCACTCACCCTCACACTCACACTCACCCTCACTCACCCTCACCCTCACTCACCCTCACACTCACCCTCACACTCACCCTCACACTCACCCTCACACTCACCCTCACTCACACTCACTCACCCTCACACTCACCCTCACTCACACTCACTCACACTCACCCTCACTCACACTCACCCTCACTCACCCTCACTCACACTCACCCTCACTCACACTCACTCACACTCACCCTCACTCACACTCACCCTCACTCACCCTCACACTCACGCTCACTCACCCTCACTCACCCTCACTCACCCTCACTCACCCTCACTCACCCTCACACTCACCCTCACACTCACTCACCCTCACACTCACTCACACACTCACCCTCACACTCACCCTCACTCACCCTCACACTCACTCACCCTCACACTCACCCTCACACTCACTCACCCTCACTCTCACTCACACACTCACCCTCACACTCACCCTCACTCACCCTCACTCACCCTCACCCTCACTCACCCTCACACTCACCCTCACACTCACTCACCCTCACACTCACTCACCCTCACTCACCCTCACACTCACCCTCACACTCACCCTCACTCACACTCACTCACACTCACCCTCACTCACACTCACCCTCACTCACACTCACTCACTCTCACCCTCACTCACCCTCACACTCACCCTCACACTCACCCTCACACTCACCCTCACACTCACTCACACTCACCCTCACTCACCCTCACCCTCACTCACCCTCACTCACCCTCACACTCACTCACCCTCACACTCACTCACACACTCACACACTCACCCTCACACTCACACTCACTCACCCTTACTCACCCTCACTCACACTCACCCTCACTCACACTCACCCTCACTCACACTCACTCACCCTCACCCTCACTCACCCTCACTCACCCTCACTCACCCTCACACTCACTCACACTCACTCACACCCACCCTCACTCACCCTCACTCACCCTCACCCTCACTCACCCTCACTCTCACCCTCACTCACCCTCACTCACCCTCACACTCACTCACACCCACCCTCACTCACCCTCACCCTCACTCACCCTCACCCTCACTCACCCTCACACTCACTCACACTCACTCACCCTCACTCACCCTCACTCTCACCCTCACTCACCCTCACTCACCCTCACTCACCCTCACCCTCACTCACCCTCACTCACCCTCACCCTCACTCACACTCACCCACACTCACCCTCACTCTGACACTCACCCTCACTCACCCTCACTCTCACCCTCACTCACCCTCACTCTCACCCTCACTCACCCTCACTCACCCTCACTCACCCTCACCCTCACTCACCCTCACTCACCCTCACTCACCCTCACTCTGACACTCACCCTCACTCACCCTCACTCACCCTCACACTCACCATCACTCACACTCACCCTCACTCACACTCACCCTCACTCACACTCACTCACCCTCACCCTCACTCACCCTCACACTCACCCTCACACTCACCCTCACTCACCCTCACCCTCACTCACCCTCACCCTCACTCACCCTCACACTCACCCTCACACTCACTCACTCTCACTCACACACTCACCCTCACACTCACCCTCACTCACCCTCACTCACCCTCACTCTGACAATCACCCTCACTCACCCTCACACTCACCCTCACTCACCCTCACCCTCACACTCACTCACACTCACCCACACTCACCCTCACTCTGACACTCACCCTCACTCACCCTCACCCTCACTCACCCTCACTCTGACACTCACCCTCACTCACACTCACCCTCACACTCTGACCGTCACACTCACCCTCACACTCACCCTCACTCTGACACTCACCCTCACCCTCACTCACCCTCACACTCACCCTCACACTCACTCACCCTCACACTCACCCTCACACTCACTCACCCTTACACTCACCCTCACACTCACCCTCACTCACCCTCACCCTCACTCACCCTCACTCACCCTCACACTCACCCTCACTCACCCTCACTCACCCTCACTCACCCTCACCCTCACTCACCCTCACTCACCCTCACTCACCCTCACTCACACTCACACTCACCCTCACACTCACTCACACTCACTCACCCTCCCTCTGACCCTCACTCACAATCACTCACTCACCTTCACCCTCACTCTGACCCTCACACCCTCACACTCACACTCTGACCCTCACCCTCTGACCCTCACCCTCTGACCCTGACCCTGACCCCCCCCCAGACCTGCACGTGCTGCTGCTGGAGGACCTCGTGGTGCTGCTGCAGCGGCAGGAGGAGAAGTTGGTGCTGCGCTGCCACAGCCAGCAGCTTGGGGGCGCCTCCGACACGAGGCAGATCTACAGCCCCATCGTGAAGCTGGGCACCGTGCTCCTGCGTGAGGTGGCACGAGGTGGGCACGGCGGGGGGGGGGGGCACGGGGGGGGGCACGGGGGGGGGCACGGGGGGAGGGCACGCTGAGCCGTGGGGTCACGAGGTGTGTCTGTGCGTGTGTCTGTACGTGTGTCTATGCGTGCGTGTGCGTGCGTGTATCTGGACGTGCGTGTGTCTGTGCGTGTGTCTGTGAGTGTGTGTCTGTACGTGCGTGTGTCTCTGCGTGCGTGTGCGTGCATGTGTCTGGACGTGCGTGTGTCTGTGCGTGTGTCTGTGCGTGTGTCTGTGTGTGCGTGTGTCTATACGTGCGTGCGTGTGTCCGTGCGTGTGTCTGTACGTGCGTGTGTCTGTGCGTGCGTGTGTCTGTTCGTGTGTCTGTGGGTGTGTGTGTCTGTGCGTATGTCTGTACGTGTGTGTGTCTGTACGTGTGTCTGTGCGTGTGTCTGTGGGTGTGTGTGTCTATACGTGCGTGCATGTGTCCGTACGTGTGTCTGTACGTGCGTGTGTCTGTACGTGTGTCTGTGAGTGTGTGTGTCTGTGCGTGTGTCTGTACGTGTGTGTGTCTGTACGTGTGTCTGTGCGTGTGTCTGTGGGTGTGTGTGTCTATACGTGCGTGCATGTGTCCGTACGTGTGTCTGTACGTGCGTGTGTCTGTACGTGTGTCTGTGAGTGTGTGTGTCTGTACGTGCGTGTGTCTGTGCGTGTGTCTGTGCGTGTGTCTGTGAGTGTGTGTCTGTACGTGCGTGTGTCTGTGCGTGTGTCTGTGAGTGTGTGTGTCTGTACGTGTGTGTGTCTGTGCGTGTGTCTGTACGTGCGTGTGTCTGTACGTGCGTGTGTCTGTGCGTGTGTCTGTGAGTGTGTGTGTCTGTACGTGCGTGTGTCTGTGCGTGTGTCTGTGCGTGCGTGTGTCTGCGTGCGTGCGTGAGTCTGTGCGTGCGTGTGTCTGTGCGTGCGTGTGTCTGTGCGTGCGTGTGTCTGTGCGTGCGTGTGTCTAGACAAGCACGCGTTCTTCATGATCAGCACGTCCCAGCTGGGTCCCCAGATCTACGAGCTGGTGGCCGTGAGCGTGTCGGAGCGCCGCGCCTGGTGGCAGCGGCTGAGCGACGCCGTCGCCGCCACGCGCAAGAAGAGCACCGTCCTGCTGGGCATCGCTCACAAGGAGGGCGACGGGCCCACCTCGCCCTGCCCCCCCGAGTACACGCGCACGCACACACGCAACGTACACACGCAACGTACACACGCACTCGCAATGTACACACACATGCAACTTACACGCGCATGTACACACGCAACATACACGCGCACTCGCAACGTACACGCATACACGCACGTACACACGTACACGCAACGCACACACACAACGTACACGCATACACGCATACACGCATACACGCAACGTACACACGCAACATACACGCGCACTCGCAACGTACACGCATACACGCACGTACACAGGTACACACACGCACGCACACACGTACACGCACGTACACGCACACACGCAACGTACACGCATACACACATGCAACGTACACACGCAACGTACACACGCAACGTACACGCATACATACACGTACACGCACACATGCAACGTACACGCATACACGCACGTACACACGTACACGCAACGTACACACGCAACGTACACCCACTCGCAACGTGCACGCATACACGCAACGTACACGCGTACACACACGCACGCACACACGTACACGCACGTACATGCACACACGCAACGTACACGCATACACACATGCAACGTACACACGCAACGTACACACGCAACGTACACGCATACATACACGTACACGCACACATGCAACGTACACGCATACATACACGTACACGCACACATGCAACGTACACGCATACACACACGTACACGCATACACACACGTACACGCGTACCCGCGCACACGCAACGTACACGCATACACACACGTACACGCATACACACACAACTTACACGCATACACACACGTACACGCGCACACGCAACGTACATGCATACACACACGTACGTGCGCACACAGGCGTTTATGAGTGTGTGTGTGAGTGTGTGTGAGTGTGTGAGTGAGTGTGTGAGTGTGTGAGTGAGTGTGTGAGTGTGTGTGTGAGTGTGTGTGAGTGTGTGAGTGAGTGTGTGAGTGTGAGAGTTGTTGCTGAGTGTGTGTGAGTGTGTGTGTGTGAGTGTGTGTGTGAGTGTGTGTGTGAGTGTGTGTGTGAGTGTCTGCGGTGCCGGACGGACAACTCTGTCGTGGACAGTGCTGTGGGGGGAGGGCCAATTCCGATTGGCTCCTCCCCTCATGGCGTCTGTGTCCACCACAGTGGCTAAACGGGGGCTCTGGACGGGTGCGAGGGGCTGGTAAGCCCTCCACCTTCAATTAATTACCACTAAACCACGAGTTAAACTGAAATATGTAACGAATAAGCTTGTGCCGGAGGCCCGGGGGGACAGGCGTCTATGAAGTCTCCTGGCCAAATCCCAATTGGCGGAGCCAGGAGAATGAATCTCTACCCTCGGGGCTCCTCCAGAAACAACGAAAAGCCACTACGGATGGCCACGTGGAATGTTCGAACGCTCGCTGCGGAGGAGAGGCTGCCACTCCTCTGTCGGGAGCTGGACCGGTACCGCCTGGATCTCTGTGGCATTCAGGAGGTCCGGTGGACCGGTTCTGGCTCCTGCCACCATGAGGGGTGGACAGTCCTCTACTCGGGGCAGGAGACTGCCAAACAACAGGGTGTGGCTCTTCTTTTGAACAAAAGAATGAAGGGGGCGTGGGAGCGTGGTGGTGAGGTGTGGGAAGCTGTAAGCCCCAGGCTACTTTGGGCTCGCCTTCCCATCAACCGGAGGCGAGGAGTGGTGGTCGTGGTTACTTATGCCCCCACCGAAGACGAACATCCGTGGAGGGATGCAGGCAAAGCCGATGAGTCAGATGCCTTCTATGACCTCCTGTCACAGGTGCTGGCTAAAGTGGCACCTCGGGATAGAGTCATCATGTTGGGTGACTTCAATGCCCGAGTTGGTCATGATACTGGCACCTGGTCTGGAGTGATTGGAGGACATGGGCCAGATCAGCTCAATAACAACGGTAGGAGGCTGCTAGATTTTTGTGCAGCCCATGGGCTTGTAATTACCAACACGCTGTTCCGGCATCGGCGCATCCACACAACATCATGGATGCATGCCGGGTCCAAGCAAGAACATCTGCTGGACTACATAGTGACGGACCAGCGGATGCGAGCCCATATCCTTGACACCAGGACCTACCCGTGGAGCTGATCTACCCTCTGACCATCGACTAGTCATCTGTAAGATGCGCCTGCCATTCTTCCACTCCGGTGGTGGGTGTACATCCAGGATGCCATTCCAACCTAAAGTGGTCTGGTCTCAGTTATCTGATGAAAGTTGCAAGCGAGAATTTCATCATCGCTTGCGGCTGGGATTGGCATCGTCCCCCACTCCTGATGTCGAAGGTAAATGGGCGAGGTTTAGGACTGTGACTCATGCAGCTGCAATGGCTGCTTTGAGTATGCGGTCCAGACCTCCCCAGAGACCCTGGCTGACAGAGGAGGTGTTCAGGATGGTTGAGAAAAAGCGACAGGCCCACTATCATCGGCTACAGAATCCCACGTCAGAGAATGAGGAGGCTTACCACAGCCTTTGCTCGGAGGTTCGGAGAGCCGTGAGGCGCTGCCAGGATGGGTGATGGTCGCGGGTTGCTGAGGAGATGGAGTCTGCCTCAGTGGCCCGCGATCACAAATCTCTATTTAACTCCATCAAAAAAGTAACCTGCAGCGCCACACCTATTACCATCATTAGGGGAAAAAACGGTGATCCAATCTCCGACCCCCAGGAACAGGTTTGCAGATTTGCTGAGCATTTCTGTGAGGTCCTGGGGGAGGGAAAATCCCTCAGCCAGGAAAACATCGTGGCACAAAGTGAGGATGACCCTGCTGAGGCTGCGGTGCCTCAAATATTGGAAGAAGTCACCCCCAGTGAGTGGCTGGCTGAAGTGCCATCTGTTGAGGAAGTACTGAAGGCGATCCGGAGTCTGAGACCAGGAAAGGCAGCGGGCAGACATGATCTCCCAAATGAAATGCTGAGGGAGGGTGGCATTTGTGCACAGACTGCCCTAAATTACATCATAACAACAGTCTGGACCACTGGACGGGTTCCGCAGGATTGGAAGGATGCCCTGGTGGTCCCCCTCTTTAAGAAGGGAGACCGCACAGACTGTAACAACTACAGGAGCATCTCACTCAGTGTGCCGGGAAAGGTCCTGGCAATGATTATTCAACATCGCCTTGCCAGGCACGCTGAGGAGAGGCTTGCAGAGCCCCAATGCGGTTTCAGGAAAGGGCGGTCCTGCACAGATGCCATACTTTCTGTCCGTCTGCTACAGCAGAGGTGTAGGGAATTCCAACAAGACCTACATCTCTGCTTTATTGACCTGGTCAAGGCCTCTGATACCATCAGTAGGCCTGGGCTCTGGGTTGTTCTTCGTGCTTTTGGAGTACCTGACCCTCTGCTCACGATCATTAAAGACCTTCATGATGGTGAGCGGGCCCGGATAAAACTACGTGGCCGGGAGTCAGAGCCATTCCCTGTACACCTTGGGGTGCGACAGGGATGTCCTTTGGCTCCCACATTATTTTACATCTATTTTGACCACGTAGTTCGTGAAGCCTTCAATACCTGTACCGGGGGAATCTCCATTTGGTACAGATATAATGGGAGGCTGATCGATGCCCGGGTGCAGTCAAGGGATGGCTCCCTATTGCTCAACCACGTTATGTATGCTGATGATTTGGTAATAGCTGCTCATTCAGAGGAGGAGTTGGGGACGCTGCTGCTGAGACTGGAGCGTGCCACTTAGAGGTGGGGCCTTACCATCAGCTCCACCAAAACTAAGCACCTGCCTGGGTATTTTGTACCATCGGACACTCCACCCCCACAACTCCAAATCGGTGATGGGGCAGTTGTGGAGAGAGTGGAGAGTTTCCCATACCTGGGCAGTGTGCTTATGACCGGCTCCAGTTTAACAGCAGAGGTCTCACTCCGAATCAGTCGAGCGGCAATATCTTTTCATCGGTTGCGTAACGCTGTGTGGAAGCTACTTGGTCTGTCGCTCCGCACTAAGCTTCAGGTCTTCTCGGCCACCGTCATTCCCTCCTTTCTCTACGCTTGCGAAACGTGGACCCCCCTAATGGAACATCTTCGCCGGTTAGAAACATTTAGGCTGGCCTGCCTACGATCCATCCTGGGTTTAACCAGACTGGATTGTGTGAGGAGCTCACAAATCCTTGAAACATCTGGGCAAGGTCCCATCGGTGAGCTCCTCCGGCGGGGAAGGCTGTGATGGCTGGGTCATGTAGCCCGCATGCCCAGCCACCGCATGCCGAAACAGCTTTTGTTTGGCCGGATTGAGGGGGCTAAGCGGGCGCGGCACGGGCTAGAGAAGAGATGGAGTGATGTGGTACAGGAGGACGTGGAGCTGAGTGGACTTGCCGATGACTGGTACCAGCGGTGTCAAGATCGGCCTCTGTGGAGGAGGCTCGTGAAGGATGCTACTGGGCAGTTGGAGGCAGTCGCCCTCCAACAACAACGGAGGGCGGAGGAGCGACGCTCACAACAGCGAGCGGAGCGCCGGGTGGCTAAAGCACAGCAGGTTGGCACAGTAGGGGGCACAGGTGGTGCATCAGCCAGTCATCTCAGTCAGTCGACCCGTGGCACCTGGGTCTGCCCCGTGACCTCCTGCCAGCGGGCGTTCGACACTTCACGTGGCCTCAGGGTGCACATAGCCTGGCACAAGCGTCGTGGTGACGTCACCGCCACTTAGTGGCGAATGGCGGTTGTTGTTGTTGTTGTGAGTGAGAGTGTGAGTGTGTGAGTGAGTGTGTGAGTGTGTGAGTGAGTGAGTGTGAGTGAATGTGAGTGTGTGTGTGAGTGTGTGTGAGTGTGTGAGTGTGAGTGAATGTGAGTGTGTGAGTGTGTGAGTGTGTGTGTGAGTGAGTGTGTGTGAGTGAGTGTGTGTGAGTGAGTGTGTGTGTGTGAGTGAATGTGAGTGAATGTGAGTGAATGTGAGTGTGTGTGTGAGTGTGAGTGAGTGAGTGTGTGAGTGTGTGTGAGTGTGTGATAGTGTGAGTGAGTGAATGTGAGTGTGTGTTAGTGTGAGTGAGTGTGTGTTAGTGTGTGTGAGTGAATGTGAGTGTGTGAGTGAGTGTGAGTGAATGTGAGTGTGTGTGTGAGTGTGTAAGTGAGTGTGTGTGAGTGAATGTGAGTGAGTGTGTGAGTGAGTGAGTGAATGTGAGTGAGTGTGTGTGTGAGTGTGTGTTAGTGTGTGTGAATGTGAGTGTGTGAGTGTGTGAGTGAGTGAGTGTGAGTGTGTTAGTGTGAGTGTGTGTGTGTGAGTGAGTGAATGTGAGTGTGTGTGTGAGTGAATGTGAGTGAATGTGAGTGTGTGTGAGTGTGAGTGAGTGAATGTGAGTGTGTGTGTGTGAGAGTTGTTGCTGGCGTTGTGCTCTCTGCTGGCTGTTTCCGCAGCGCCCACAAGGAGGGGCCGGCGGCAGTGGGGGGCGACTCGGAGGAGGTGGCCACGGTGGGGGGAGTGGGGGGCGACTCGGAGGAGGTGGCCGCGGTGGGGGGAGTGGGGGGCGACGTGGAGGAGGACGAGGAGGCCGCCCCCCCCCACGCCGACGAGCGTGCCGGGGGGCTCTCCCCCCACGCGGACGACGCCCCCCCGGGGAGTTCCCCGGGGCCGCTCTCTCCGGACTCCGCGGCCTCCCCGTCTCCGCCGCCACGGCGGTGGGCGACCGTCGTGGACGGGGCGGGAGAGGAGGGCCTGGCCGGCCCCGCCGTGGAGGCCGGTGAGGACGCGCCGCTGCCACGGGTGCCCCCCGGGTAGCCCCCCCCTCCCCCCCCCCGGTGCTCGCCCCGCGGCCTCGGTCGTCCCCCTCTCTGGCAACCAAACAGCCGCGTCGAGATGTCCAGACACCAAACTGGGACCTCTGCGATTAACCTTGCCCGCTCGGCCTGCTGGGCCCGGTCCCCCGCTGGGCCCGGTCCCCCGCTGGGCCCAGTCCCACGCCCAGCCCAGTCCCACGCCCGGCCCGGTCCCCCGCTGGGCCCAGTCCCACGCCCGTCTCTGGTGTGGGGACCAATCAGTCTCAAGGACAATGCGTATGCTCGCAGAGTATCGTCTTCATTCGAAGCTTTCGTGACTGCGGGGATCCACACTCTTTTGGTTCTTTGGCTAAAGTCAGATGACGATTGCTCGCGTTGCCATCGGAACGTCGCGACCTTTTATTATTCTTTCTACCTACGTCACTTTAGCGAAAGAACCACCGGCTCTCGGAGGGTGTTTGTGCTTTGCATTCTGACCACAAGTATTGTGGTTAATGCACAAGTATTGTGGTTAATGCACAACATGCTTCCTTGTCAAAGGTTTCCGTTTGGTGCTCTAACATCTTGGCACGGCTGTTTTGTTGCCAGAAAGGGGAAAACCCGACAGCCATGATTTAATACTGGCAAGGGAGGCCTCATCACGGCGCTTGACGCATGCGGCACTCTGTCGCCAGCGCTGTCGCCAGCGTTGGCGCCAGCGTGCCGCGGGTGGCCTGTCACCAGCGCTGGCCCACACGGGGCGGGGGGCTCTGTCTGCGTGCGCAGTGCTGAGGCTGCGGGAGATGCTGGGCCGCCTGCTGGCCGCGTCGCCCGCGGCGGAGGAGGGAGACGCGGTGGAGCTGCGCATCGACGAGGACGAGGGCAGCGCTCACGGTACCGCTCCCGTCAGCACCACGCGCCGCTGCCCACCGCCTCGCCCGGTGTGCAGGGGGTCGCAGGGTCGGTCCCGACCCTCACGACGCCTGCTGCTGCTGCGTATTTACGTGTCTCTCTCTACCCCCCTCTCTGCCCCCCCTCTCTCTCTGCCCCCTCTCTTCCTACTCCATGTCGCTCTCTCTCGCTCTCTCTTTCTTTATAACTACGACAAGTGCTGCACCTGCACGCAGCCCTTCCCACAGTCAAACGGCCTCCGACGGGTAGCTTAGATCTTCATGCAGAGCTCTCCGTCATCTGCCACCGAGCACACGGCCTCCTCCAGCGCCCACTGCTCCTTGAAGGCCGGCACGGCGTGGGTCAGCCGCGCACGGCGGAACTCCGGCCACACCCTGGCTCCGACCGGAGCGCGGAAGATGCCCAGGCTGCTGGTCGGACGTTGCCCCTCCAGGGCCACCTTCCTCACCCTGTATATGGCGAGCTTGGTGTAGCCGAAGAGCACGTTGACCAGCCCCTCTCTGTCTCTCTCTCTTTCTCTCTCTGTGCATGCTGGGAAGAGGGTGTGTCTACCCGTGCTCCTGGCGATTACATTACCTGCCAGTGAGGGCCTAGTTTTACGTGTGCATCCTAGCCTCGCCTGACGTTCGTTTTTTGCACTTTCCAGCTACCTCTTTAAATCTCCACTCACCTTCGAGTGCTCATCATCTTCTCCCCTCCACCTCTGTGAGCGCCTCCAACAACAACACAGGCTCGTGCTGTCTCTCACTTCTGCAGCTCTTCTTCCTCTCATCGCACTCGTTTACTCGGCAAGCCTGCGGCCTGCTCACAGCCCTGCACCCACTACCTTTCCTCCCCCCCTCTGCTACATCCTTCCTATTCTTCTGCTTTACTGCAAGCATTAAAATCGCTCCTCTTTCTCACTCCCCTCCTCTCCGCTCTCCCCCCTCTCTCTCAGCACTGCTGCTTCCTTGCCCCCACAGCACCCATCACGCCACGGGACGCTCGTGACAACACCTGCTCACGGCCCCCCCCTCTCTCCCGTTGCCACCCTGCGCCCCCCCCCCCACCCCACTCTTATTTCCCACCCATCTCTTCTTGTCTTGTTCTCTCCTTTCATTCGTGCAGCTAACGACGTTGATTTATTTGCATACACTTTATTTATTGATTTACTTACTTACAAATGCCGTGCCACGCCGGAGGACCGCCCAACAGGGACTGTGCTGCTTCCCGCCACCTGAGACAAAGGTGGACGACGTGATAGACGCCGCTGCTGGACAGTGCGTGGGGAAGCGGAACGTCGTCGCCGCGACTCCCATGAACCGCGTTGGCTACGTGGTCCTCTTCACCAACGCGGAGATGGCGGCGCGCGTCATCGCCACGGGGCTCACCTTCAGGGGGGGAGATATTTGTGCAATGCGCGCCTCTCTCCTCCCCCGCGCGAAAAGTGCTCGTCTCCAACGCCCGCCACCTTTCCTCAAAACTGCCGACCTACAACGAGACCTCGAGCGGTTCGGCAAAGTTGTGTCCCGCATCGTCACGCTGCCCCTGGGCGCACACGGGACCCAGAAATGGCGCACGTCTTGTCGTTTAAGCGACAAACTTTCATGATTTTAAACGGCAACAACACGGAACTCAACGTGAACTTTAAGTACACTACGCCTACACCGTGTATGTGTCCGCCGCGTTGCCACGCTGTTACGTGTGCGGTGGCCTTTTGGTTTGCCCGTGCAAATTGCACGGGCAAACCAAAAGGAAAAAAACGTGCAACCTGCAACAAACGTCACGCAGCAGGAGCAGCAACAGCGCCAACAGCAGCAACAGCAGCAGCAGACACCACAGCCGCAGCAGTGCCGGCAAAAGCAGCAGCAGCCGCCGCAGCCTTTGCAGCGGCAGCAGCAGCTGCAACAACAGGAGCAGCGCAGCAGCAGCCACAGCAACAGCCGCAGCAGCAGCCGCAGCAGCCACAGCCACCGCAGCCTCAGCAGCAGCAGCAGCAGTCGCAGCTACCGCAACCTCAGCAGCAGCAGCAGCCACCACAGCACGAGTGCCAGCTGCTGCTGCTGCAGTAACAGCAGCCACCACAGCATGAGTACCAGCAGCTGCAGCAGCCACCACTGCACGAGTGCCAGCAGCTGCTGCAGCAGCAGAACGCTGACTCGGGGACCGGTCGCACAAAGCCGCCCACCGACGACGACGAAGACGACGGCGAGGGCTTCACCCTCGTCACCTCGCGCAAGCGCAGGGCCAAGCCCGGCCACGGCGGAGGAGGCCACGCGGCCCCTAACCCTAAACACGCGGCCACCGCCGATCACGAGCCCTGCCCAAAAGTCACAGAGCAGGACGAGCAACGCCCCCCAGCAAGCGCCGTCCTAGACGGCGTTGCGGGGAATGAGCACGAAGACAATCTCGACGGCGACCCGTCTGAGGACAACACGGTGGGACGAGGACCGCCAACACCGCCACCGCCGCACGCCGCCTCGGCATCCTCAGAGCGAGAGGAACCACCGGCCGGCGCGGCGCCTAACGGCGCCACGCCGCAGGAAGGCGATGAAAGCCGGCTCGCCTCACCCGAGGGGAGAGCAAAAGACCCTCCGCTACCAGAGGGCAGCCACCCTCTTCCCGATGAGGCCCTGCCATCACCGACGGCAAACGAGGTTTCTGTCGAGTCACGGTTTGACGAGCTGGAGGACTCTTGACGACGAGGTGTCGGAGACCGAAGGAGAGGACGACGTGAGTGAGCTCAGCTACTCGCAAGTCAACAGCGAGTGCGATTACTCACCTGGGGACATCCACAGCTTCCTCGGGAAAACTTTCAGGAAGCGTCAAGTCAGGGTCGGGGCCGATTTTCCTGACCTCAACGTTTTCCTCAAAGCATCCCAACAAATTTGCCGCAACAGCGACAGGTTTTGGTTTCTCAACTCAGGAATGCTACTGCCTGAAAGCTTTCATGCGCAAGGCGAAGAAGGAGCTTACTTCTGCCCAGAAGTAACCCAGCCCCCCGCAACTACTGTTAACACTACCACCACCACACAAGTACATGATGGCTTCAGCTATTAAGGTTGCCAGTCTGAACTGTAACAGCGCTCGCAGTGACAAGAGGTGGGACCAGATCTGCCGCTTTGTCAGGGAACACAAAGCAGATGTGACTCTCCTCCAGGAAACCTACCTTGACCCAATGTGACTCTCCTCCAGGAAACCTACCTTGACCCAATGTCACTCTCCTCCAGGAAACTCACCTTGGCCAGATGTGACTCTCCTCCAGGAAACTCACCTTGACCCAATGTGACTCTCCTCCAGGAAACTCACCTTGGCCAGATGTGACTCTCCTCCAGGAAAACCACCTTGACCCAATGTGACTCTCCTCCAGGAAACCTACCTTGACCCAATGTGACTCTCCTCCAGGAAACCCACCTTGACCCAATGTGACTCTCCTCCAGGAAACCCACTTTGACCCAATGTGACTCTCCTCCAGGAAACCTACCTTGACCCAATGTGACTCTCCTCCAGGAAACCTACCTTGACCCAATGTGACTCTCCTCCAGGAAACCTACCTTGACCCAATGTGACTCTCCTCCAGGAAACCCACCTTGACCCAATGTGACTCTCCTCCAGGAAACCCACCTTGACCCAATGTGACTCTCCTCCAGGAAACCTACCTTGACCCAATGTGACTCTCCTCCAGGAAACCTACCTTAACCCAATGTGACTCTCCTCCAGGAAACCCACCTTGACCCAATGTGACTCTCCTCCAGGAAACCCACCTTGACCCAATGTGACTCTCCTCCAGGAAACCTACCTTGACCCAATGTGACTCTCCTCCAGGAAACCCACCTTGACCCAATGTGACTCTCCTCCAGGAAACCCACCTTGACCCAATGTGACTCTCCTCCAGGAAACTCACCTTGGCCAGATGTGACTCTCCTCCAGGAAACCCACCTTGACCCAATGTGACTCTCTTCCAGGAAACTCACCTTGGCCAGATGTGACTCTCCTCCAGGAAACCCACCTTGACCCAATGTGACTCTCCTCCAGGAAACTCACCTTGGCCAGATGTGACTCTCCTCCAGGAAACTCACCTCGACGCCACTCTGGAGGCCCAACGCCAGCATTTCCTAGGCGGCCGGGCCTTCTTCAGCCACGCCGAGGACAACCTCGCCGGCGTGGCGATTGTGCTCAGTTCGCAGCTTGCACCAGAGAATGTCTCCTTCAAAGAAATCGTCAAAGGTCACTTGATTTCTGTCGAATTCGTCCTGAATAAATCCTGCCTCGGGTGCTATAACGTGTACGCGCCGAGCAAGGCCCCCGAGAGGAAACTCTTCTTCGGCGCGCTGCGGGACGCGCTGGCGACAAACGACATGGACGACGTTGCTCGCCGTCGTGGGCGGAGACTTCAACTGCACCCTCGACCCGGCTCTCGACCGCAACACCGCCGAACCTCACCCTGAGTCCGCACGGCCGCTCGCCGAGCTCGTGCGGAGACTGGATCTGCGTGACGTGTGGCGACTACAGCATCCAGCCCAGCGGCAGTACTCCTGGTCCCGCTGCGGCTCTCAAGGCAGGATAAGCCTTGCCAGGCTCGACCGACCGTACGTCAACGCAAGCGGTGTTAACCTGCTCGGGGACAGTAAAATCGTACCCTCTGGTTTCTCGGATCACCACCTGGTCTCTGTGCTACTGCGAATTCCCAGAGCGGAGCAGCACAGCGCCTACTGGAGACTCAACGTGCAGCTGCTTGATGACACCGACTTCAGAGAAACCTTCAAAGCCTTATGGGCTCAGTGGCTGCCTACCAAAGGCAGCTTCAGCTCCCACCAGCTGTGGTGGGACAACATAAAGGCGCGGGTCAGGGTCCTCTGTCAGCAGTTCACGAGCCAGCACGCCGCCGCCAAGAACGAGGTGGCGCGCCAACTGCAGAACGAGAGCTGCTGGCGCTAGAGGCAGAGCTGAGCTCACCCCACGGCACACAGCAGGGTGAGACGCTACTGGAGAAGCAGCGGCTTTTCAGGTCCATCACGGACAAGCGGGCACGTCGTGCTTTTGTGTGCAAAAAGATGCAGCACCTGTCGCAGATGGACTCTCTCCCTCTAAGTTTTTCTTCCGGTTAAACAAAGCACCGGCCAACACCAGGAAAATGTCCAGTTTGCGAACTCCAGATGGACAAACAGCAACATCTGAGAGCGAGATCGCCAAGGCCGCCAGGGATTTCTACTCGCATCTTTTCGCCGCCGAAACCATACACGACGAGGCTGTCCGGGAGCTACTGGACGGGGGCCCTACCTTAGGAGTCCCCCAGCGGGATCGTCTGGACAGCCCCGTCACCCTGCAGCAGGAGCTCCACACCGCTGTGAAAGGGCTCGCAGTCGGTAAAGCCCCGGGGATTGACGGCCTGCCGGTTGGGTTTTACGCGGCCTTCTGGGATGAGCTTGGCCCTCCACTACTACAATTGTTGACGGAGAGCCTGCAGAAGGGGGAACTCCCACAGAGCTGAGGAGAGCCGTGGTCTCCCTGCTACCCAAGAAGGGGGACCTGCGCCTCCTCGTGAACTGGCGACCCGTGTCCCTCTTTGTGCGCCGACTACAAAATCTTCTCCAAGGTGGTGGCAAACCGTCTCAAGACAGCGCTGGGTCAGCTGATCCTGCCGGAACAGTTGCATTGCATTCCCGGATGGTGCATATAACGACAACATCGGTACGGTCAGAGACGTAATCTACCTTGCAGAAGCGCACAGCGTGGACTTAGGCCTCCTCTTCTTAGGTCAGGAGAAAGCCTTTGACAGGGTGAGCCACGAGTACTTGGACAAACTCCTAACGTCGCTCGGCTTCGGCCAGGTCTTCATCTCGCACGTGAGGCTCCTGTACACGGGGCACATCCAACCTCTTGAAGATAAACCGGCGGCTCGGCGTCCCCTTTCCCTGTGACGAGGCGGGTCAGACGGGGATGCCCCCTCTCGGGGCTGCTGTACCACCCTGTCCATTGAGCCACTGCTACGCCACCTGAGACGAAATCTGACTGGCCTCAAAGTCTCGGGACCCGAGAACGCGGTCATCAAGCTCTCAGCTTACGCAGACGACGACGTGATGCGTCGTTGAGGACGTCGTGCGTGTCGTCCTCAACGACGCGCACGACGCCTCCGTGCTCTGCCAGGCGGTTGCAGCGTACGAGAGGGGGGCCTCCTCCGCCAGGGTCAACTGGCCCAAGTGCGAGGCCCCCTCTGTGTTTGGGGTCGCGAGGCGGCGTTCGCTCTGTGCTCCTCCCAGGAGGAGTCGTTTGGCGGGACGACGGAGTCAAGTACCTGGGGGTTTACCTGGGGAAACCACGTGACGTCGTTCTGAACAACTGGACCGAGCCGGCCGACACGATCGAGGCTAAATTACTGACATGGGCACCACGCCTCGCTCCGCAGATGTCATTCAGGGGCCGAGTGCTCGTCGCTAACACCCTGGCAGCGTCCGCGCTGTGGCACAAGACCAAGGCCCTCCAGCCTCCTGCTTGGCTACTCACCAGAGTCGACCGCTCACTCGCGCACTTCGTCTGGCATGGGAAGCACCGGCTCAGGCCGGGCGTTCTCCGCCTGCCGGTGGGCGAGGGCGGCCAGGGTCTGGTGGACGTTGCCGCCAGGGTCACGAGTTTCAGGGTCATGGCAGTCAGGCGGCCGCTGTACGACCGGGAGGAGCTACCCTGGAAGTCGCCGGCCCTCGCCCTGCTGAGGAATGCAGGGGGGAGGGGGGTGCCTGGGGTACGGAAAGGAGCTCTTCCTGATGGACCTGAGCCTGGTCGACTACACGAGGCTACCAGGTTGTCACCGGAGCCTCTTGGACGTGTGGCGGAGCTTCGAGTGGAGCGGAACGCGCACGGCGCCCTACGACCTCGCACGGTTCCTGAACGAGGCCTTGTTCTGCAACGGCCTTTTTCCAGGGAATCAGAGGAGAGAGGACCCTGACTCAACGCCTCACATCAGCAGGGCTGCCGACAGTCGTCCACCTCGTGCAGGCCCACCAGCCCAAGTGGAAGCCCGCGGCTGAGATCGCCAGCACTGCTAGGGGACTCCGCTCTGTGCTCGCTGGGGAGAAGCTGCTGCGGGACATCGCTCCGTGCCACGAAGGAGCTGCGCCTGAAGCTGGAGGCACCGGGGGATGGTGGCGGCCCCCCCCCCCTCCTCCTTCCCGGAGTTGTGCTTCTCCTGCACGCAGCCCCCCGGCCACAGCGACTCCGGCAAGCTGCTGAAGCTCCGAGGCTGCAGGAATGTGCCCCTGAAGAGCGCCCCAAACACAGCGCTCTACACGTGGCTGTGTCAAGGCGCTGCATTCCCGGGACCTGGCCAACCTACCGGACACAAAATGGAGAGACCATTTCTCCCCGCTCATTGCAACCGCCCCTCAGTGGAAACAAATGTACAAAGTCTCCCGTAGCCAAACGCTGCGGTGACCTCCGGGGGAGGTTGGCACACTGCACGTTGCCATCGGCCGTGTGGCTCAGCCGAATCTCGCCAGGGGTAACAGACTTGGTGCATCACCTGCGGTGCCAGGGAGGATCTGCCCCACCAGTACTTACACTGCCAGCGCCTCAAACCAATGTTCTGCCTTTTGGGGGAAATCTTCAGGAAACTGGCGGTGCTTTCCTACAACAGCAGCTTCGTGTATGGAGTGGTGCCTTACCTGGCTAACAAGCGCCATGACCTCGCCAACTTCGCCTGTGCTCAGGCGAAGATGGCGGTGTACAGAACGAGAAAAAAGACGCTGGAAGGTGACACTAACGGCTGCTCTGTGCTGCTTCCAGTGTTCAGGGGCCTGCTCAAGGCGCGGCTCCGGCTGGAGCACGCCACGTACCACACACACGTGTCGGTGATGTGCAGCGCGTCTTGTTCCAACGCTGGGGAGCCGGACAAGCCCCTCTCTGTAACCAGCGTGGACGGCACCCCCCTCGTGTTCACCTTCTGAAGCGCTCGCTCGTCACCGTGGCGTGCGCGATGACCACCACCACCACCACGTGACTTTTATTTCGTGTTGTGCGCGGTGCTTTTTAGCGCCACAGTGTGTGTATTTGTAACGTTTATTTTCATTTGTGTTGCTGGTGACTTTGTGTATTTCATTTCGAAATCGCCTCCAGTGCTTTTGCTGCTGGCAGCAATAAAAGTTGTTTAAAAGTAAAAGTCTCTCTGTGTCTATCTCTGTCTCTCTCTGTCTCTGTCTCTCTCTCTGTCTCTCTCTCTGTCTCTCTGTCTCTCTCTGTCTCTCTCTCTGTCTCTCTCTCTGTCTCTCTCTCTGTCTCTCTCTCTGTCTCTCTCTCTGTCTCTCTGTCTATCTTTCTCTCTGTCTCTCTGTCTCTCTCTGTCTCTCTCTGTCTATCTCTCTCTGTCTCTCTGTCTATCTCTCTGTCTCTGTCTCTCTGTCTATCTCTCTCTCTGTCTCTCTCTCTGTCTCTCTCTGTCTCTCTCTCTGTCTCTCTCTGTCTCTCTCTGTCTCTCTCTCTCTGTCTCTCTGTCTCTCTCTGTCTCTCTCTCTGTCTTTCTCTCCCTGCGGCCGGGTGGATCTTTCTCCGGGTTTTCCCCTCCACGCTTGGAATCGGCAGCTCGGTGGCGGGGACCTTACACTTGTTGACAATAACAAAAATAGTACAAATAGATAGAGGACCACAGAACTTGGGCAATTGTTGAGGCCTTCCCCGCTCGTGTGTAGTTCCTGCTCCTCGCGTCTCCCAGTCGCCCTCCGCCCCGCTCTGTACGCGAGCGGGCGGTGAGTGCGTACCACGTGGGGTTGTTGTTGTTGTTTATTTCTGTTTGTTGTTGTTGTTTATTTCTGTTTGTTGTTGTTGTTTATTTCTGTTTGTTGTTGTTGTTTATTTCTGTTTGTTGTTGTTTATTTCTGTTTGTTGTTTTTCAGACGAGGGGCGGCCGCGTGCCACCGCATTGCCGTCGGACGTCTTCCGGGAAGTGGAACTCATCCAGAGGAACCTCCAGCACCTGCAGGTCAGACTCTCAACTCACTCAGACTCTCAACTCTCTCAACTCTCTCAACTCTCTCAGACTCTCAACTCTCAACTCTCTCAACTCTCTCAGACTCTCAACTCTCTCAACTCTCTCAGACTCTCAACTCACTCAGACTCTCAACTCTCTCAACTCTCTCACTCTCAACTCTCTCAGACTCTCTCAGACTCTCTCAGACTCTCTCAGACTCTCAACTCTCTCAACTCTCTCACTCTCAACTCTCTCAACTCTCAACTTTCTCAACTCTCTCAACTCTCTCAGACTCTCAACTCTCAACTCTCTCAGACTCTCAACTCTCAACTCTCTCAGACTCTCAACTCTCTCAACGCTCTCAGACTATCAACTCTCTCAGACTCTCAATTCTCTCAACTCTCTCAGACTCTCAACTCTCTCAATTCTCTCAGACTCTCAACTCTCTCAACTCTCTCAGACTCTCAACTCTCTCAGACTCTCAACTCACTCAGACTCTCAACTCTCTCACTCTCAACTCTCTCAGACTCTCTCAGACTCTCTCAGACTCTCTCAGACTCTCAACTCTCTCAACTCTCTCACTCTCAACTCTCTCAACTCTCAACTTTCTCAACTCTCTCAACTCTCTCAGACTCTCAACTCTCAACTCTCTCAGACTCTCAACTCTCAACTCTCTCAGACTCTCAACTCTCTCAACGCTCTCAGACTATCAACTCTCTCAGACTCTCAATTCTCTCAACTCTCTCAGACTCTCAACTCTCTCAATTCTCTCAGACTCTCAACTCTCTCAACTCTCTCAGACTCTCAACTCTCTCAGACTCTCAACTCACTCAGACTCTCAACTCTCTCACTCTCAACTCTCTCAGACTCTCAACTCACTCAACTCTCTCAGACTCTCAACTCTCTCAGACTCTCAACTCTCTCAGACTTTCAACTCTCTCAGACTCTCAACTCTCACAACTCTCTCAGACTCTCAACTCTCTCAGACTCTCAACTCTCTCAGACTCTCAACTCTCTCAACTCTCAACTCACTCAACCCTCTCAACTCTCTCAATCCGATGAGCTAAGAAGCTCTTTGTGCGGGAGTCGGGGGTTACGAGAGGCCAGGGGACAGATTCCGCTCGATCTCCTCGCTCCGTCGTTCCATTCCACACCCCCACGGTCACCCCCATGGACAGCTGTTGTTGTTGTCGAAGCTGTTGTTGTCGAAGCTGTTGTTGTTGTAGAAGCTGTTGTTTTTGTTGTAGAAGCTGCTATTGTTGTTTTTGTTGTCGAAGCTGCTGTTGTTGTCGAAGCTGTTGTTGTTGTCGAAGCTGTTGTTGTTATCGAAGCTGCTGTTGTTGTTGTAGAAGCTGCTGTTGTTGTCGAAGCTGTTGTTGTCGAAGCTGTTGTTGTTGTCGAAGCTGCTGTTGTTGTTGTAGAAGCTGTTGTTGTTGTAGAAGCTGTTGTTGTTGTAGAAGCTGCTGTTGTTGTTGTAGAAGCTGCTGTTGTTGTTGTTGTAGAAGCTGTTGTTGTTGTCGAAGCTGTTGTTGTTGTAGCAAGCTGTTGTTGTTGTTGTAGCAAGCTGTTGTTGTTGTAGCAAGCTGTTGTTGTTGTTGTAGCAAGCTGTTGTTGTTGTTGTTGATGTAGCAAGCTGTTGTTGTTGTTGTAGCAAGCTGTTGTTGTTGTTGTAGCAAGCTGTTGTTGTAGCAAGCTGTTGTTTTAGCAAGCTGTTGTTGTTGTTGTCAAAGCTGTTGTTGTCAAAGCTGTTGTTGTCGAAGTTGCTGTTGTCGAAGCTGTTGCTGTTGTTGTTGTAGAAGCTTATTGTTCTTGTTGTAGAAGCTGCTATTGTTGTTGTTGTAGAAGCTGCTATTGTTGTTGTTGTGGAAGCTGTTGTTGTTGTAGAAGCTGCTATTGTTGTTGTCGAAGCTGTTGTTGTTGTAGAAGCTACTGTTGTTGTTGTTGTAGAAGCTGCTATTGTTGTTGTAGAAGCTGCTATTGTTGTTGTTGTAGAAGCTGCTATTGTTGTTGTTGTTGAAGCTATTGTTGTTTTTGTAGAAGCTGTTGTTGCTGTAGAAGCTGCTGTTGTTGTTGTCGAAGCTGTTGTTGTTGTTGTTGAAGCTGTTGTTGTTGTTGTAGAAGCTGTTGTTGTTGTTGTAGCAAGCTGTTGTTGTTGTTGTAGAAGCTGTTGCTGTTGTAGAAGCTGTTGTAGAAGCTGTTGTTGTTGTAGAAGCTGTTGTTGTAGAAGCTGTTGTTGTTGTAGAAGCTGCTATTGTTGTTGTTGTAGAAGCTGCTATTGTTGTTGTTGTAGAAGCTGCTATTGTTGTTGTTGTAGAAGCTGCTATTGTTGTTGTTGTAGAAGCTGCTATTGTTGTTGTTGTAGAAGCTGCTATTGTTGTTGTAGAAGCTGCTATTGTTGTTGTTGTAGAAGCTGCTATTGTTGTTGTTGTAGAAGCTGCTATTGTTGTTGTTGTAGAAGCTGCTATTGTTGTTGTTGTAGAAGCTGCTATTGTTGTTGTAGAAGCTCTTGTTGTAGAAGCTGCTGTTGTTGTAGAAGCTGTTGTTGTTGTAGAAGCTGCTATTGTTGTTGTTGTAGAAGCTGTTGTTGTCGAAGCTTTGTTGTTGTTGTAGAAGCTGTTGTTGTTGTCGAAGCTGTTGTTGTTGTTGTAGAAGCTGTTGTTGTTGTAGAAGCTGTTGTTGTAGAAGCTGCTGTTGTTGTTGTCAAAGCTGTTGTTGTCAAAGCTGTTGTTGTCGAAGTTGCTGTTGTCGAAGCTGTTGCTGTTTGTTGTTGTAGAAGCTTATTGTTCCTTGTTGTAGAAGCTGCTATTGTTGTTGTTGTAGAAGCTTATTGATGTTGTTGTAGAAGCTGCTATTGTTGTTGTTGTAAGAAGCTGCTATTGTTGTTGTTGTGGAAGCTGTTGTTGTTGTAAGAAGCTGCCTATTGTTGTTGTCGAAGGCTGTTGTTGTTGTAGAAGCTACTGTTGTTGTTGTTGTAGAAGCTGCCTATTGTTGTTGTAGAAGCTGCTATTGTTGTTGTTGTAGAAGCTGCTATTGTTGTTGTTGTTGAAGCTATTGTTGTTTTTGTAGAAGCTGTTGTTGCTGTAGAAGCTGCTGTTGTTGTTGTAGAAGCTGCTATTGTTGTTGTTGAAGCTGTTGTTGTTGTTGTAGAAGCTGCTATTGTTGTTGTTGTAGAAGCTGCTATTGTTGTTGTTGTTGAAGCTGTTGTTGTTGTCTGTAGAAGCTGTTGCGTGTTGTAGAAGCTGTTGTAGAAAGCTGTTGTTGTTGTAGAAGCTGTTGTTTGTAGAAGCTGTTGTTGTTGTAGAAGCTGCTATGTTGTTGTTGTAGAAGCTGCTATTGTTGTTGTTGTAGAAGCTGCTATTGTTGTTGTTGTAGAAGCTGCTATTGTTGTTGTTGTAGCAAGCTGCTATTGTTGTTGTTGTAGCAAGCTGTTGTTGTTGTTGTTGTAGCAAGCTGTTGCTGTTGTTGTTGTAGCAAGCTGTTGTTGTTGTTGTTGTAGCAAGCTGTTGTTGTTGTTGTAGAAGCTCTTGTTGTAGAAGCTGCTGTTGTTGTAGAAGCTGCTGTTGTTGTAGAAGCTGCTATTGTTGTTGTTGTAGAAGCTGTTGTTGTCGAAGCTTTGTTGTTGTTGTAGCAAGCTGTTGTTGTTGTAGCAAGCTGTTGTTGTTGTTGTAGCAAGCTGTTGTTGTTGTAGAAGCTGTTGTTGTAGAAGCTGTTGTTGTTGTTGTCAAAGCTGTTGTTGTCAAAGCTGTTGTTGTCGAAAGTTGCTGTTGTCGAAGCTGTTGCTGTTGTTGTTGTAGAAGCTGCTATTGTTCTTGTTGTAGAAGCTTATTGATGTTGTTGTAGAAGCTGCTATTGTTGTTGTTGTAGAAGCTGCTATTGTTGTTGTTGTGGAAGCTGTTGTGTTGTAGAAGCTGCTATTGTTGTTGTCGAAGCTGTTGTTGTTGTAGAAGCTACTGTTGTGTTGTTGTTGTAGAAGCTGCTATTGTTGTTGTAGAAGCTGCTATTGTTGTTGTTGTAGGAAGCTGCTATTGTTGTTGTTGTTGAAGCTATTGTTGTTTTTGTAGAAGCTGTTGTTGCTGTAAGAAGCTGCTGTTGTTGTTGTAGAAGCTGCTATTGTTGTTGTTGAAGCTGTTGTTGTTGTTGTAGAAAACTGCTATTGTTGTTGTTGTAGAAGCTGCTATTGTTTTTGTTGTTGTAGAAGCTGCTATTGTTGTTGTTGTAGAAGCTGCTATTGTTGTTGTTGTTAGAAGCTGTATGTTGTTGTTGTAGAAGCTGCTATTGTTGTTGTTGTTGAAGCTGTTGTTGTTGTTGTAGAAGCTGTTGCTGTTGTAGAAGCTGCTGTTGTTGTAGAAGCTGCTATTGTTGTTGTAGAAGCTGCTATTGTTGTTGTAGAAGCTGCTATTGTTGTTGTTGTAGAAGCTGCTATTGTTGTTGTTGTAGAAGCTGCTATTGTTGTTGTTGTAGAAGCTGCTATTGTTGTTGTTGTAGAAGCTGCTATTGTTGTTGTTGTAGAAGCTGCTATTGTTGTTGTTGTAGAAGCTGTTGTTGTTGTTGTAGAAGCTGCTATTGTTGTTGTTGTAGAAGCTGCTATTGTTGTTGTTGTAGAAGCTCTTGTTGTAGAAGATGCTATTGTTGTTGTTGTAGAAGCTGCTATTGTTGTTGTTGTAGAAGCTGTTGTTGTTGTTGTAGAAGCTGCTATTGTGTTGTTGTAGAAGCTGCTATTGTTGTTGTTGTAGAAGCTGTTGTTGTTGTTGTAGAAGCTGCTATTGTTGTTGTAGAAGCTCTTGTTGTAGAAGCTGCTGTTGTTGTAGAAGCTGTTGTTGTTGTAGAAGCTGCTACTGTTGTTGTTGTAGAAGCTGCTATTGTTGTTGTTGTAGAAGCTGCTATTGTTGTTGTAGAAGCTGCTATTGTTGGTGTTGTAGAAGCTTCTATTGTTTGTTGTTGTTGTAGAAGCTGCTGTTGTAGGAGCTGCTATTGTTGTTGTTGTAGAAGCTGTTGTTGTTGTAGAAGCTGCTGTTGTTGTTGTAGAAGCTGCTATTGTTGTTGTTGTTGTTGTAGAAGCTGCTGTTTTTGTTGTAGAAGCTGCTATTGTTGTTGTTGTAGAAGCTTCTATTGTTGTTGTTGTTGTAGAAGCTGCTGTTGTTGTTGTAGAAGCTGTTGTTTTTGTTGTAGAAGCTGCTATTGTTGTTTTTGTTGTCGAAGCTGCTGTTGTTGTCGAAGCTGTTGTTGTTGTCGAAGCTGTTGTTGTTATCGAAGCTGCTGTTGTTGTTGTAGAAGCTGCTGTTGTTGTCGAAGCTGTTGTTGTCGAAGCTGTTGTTGTTGTCGAAGCTGCTGTTGTTGTTGTAGAAGCTGTTGTTGTTGTAGAAGCTGTTGTTGTTGTAGAAGCTGCTGTTGTTGTTGTAGAAGCTGCTGTTGTTGTTGTTGTAGAAGCTGTTGTTGTTGTCGAAGCTGTTGTTGTTGTAGAAGCTGCTGTTGTTGTTGTAGAAGCTGCTGTTGTTGTCAAAGCTGTTGTTGTTGTTGTAGAAGCTGTTGTTGTCGAAGCTTTGTTGTTGTTGTAGAAGCTGTTGTTGTTGTCGAAGCTGTTGTTGTTGTTGTAGAAGCTGTTGTTGTTGTAGAAGCTGTTGTTGTAGAAGCTGTTGTTGTTGTTGTCAAAGCTGTTGTTGTCAAAGCTGTTGTTGTCGAAGTTGCTGTTGTCGAAGCTGTTGCTGTTGTTGTTGTAGAAGCTTATTGTTCTTGTTGTAGAAGCTGCTATTGTTGTTGTTGTAGAAGCTGCTATTGTTGTTGTTGTGGAAGCTGTTGTTGTTGTAGAAGCTGCTATTGTTGTTGTCGAAGCTGTTGTTGTTGTAGAAGCTACTGTTGTTGTTGTTGTAGAAGCTGCTATTGTTGTTGTAGAAGCTGCTATTGTTGTTGTTGTAGAAGCTGCTATTGTTGTTGTTGTTGAAGCTATTGTTGTTTTTGTAGAAGCTGTTGTTGCTGTAGAAGCTGCTGTTGTTGTTGTAGAAGCTGCTATTGTTGTTGTTGAAGCTGTTGTTGTTGTTGTAGAAGCTGCTATTGTTGTTGTTGTAGAAGCTGTTGTTGTTGTTGTAGAAGCTGTTGCTGTTGTAGAAGCTGTTGTAGAAGCTGTTGTTGTTGTAGAAGCTGTTGTTGTAGAAGCTGTTGTTGTTGTAGAAGCTGCTATTGTTGTTGTTGTAGAAGCTGCTATTGTTGTTGTTGTAGAAGCTGCTATTGTTGTTGTTGTAGAAGCTGCTATTGTTGTTGTTGTAGAAGCTGCTATTGTTGTTGTTGTAGAAGCTGCTATTGTTGTTGTAGAAGCTGCTGTTTTTGTTGTTGTAGAAGCTGCTATTGTTGTTGGTTGTAGAAGCTGCTATTGTTGTTGTTGTAGAAGCTGCTATTGTTGTTGTTGTAGAAAGCTGCTATTGTTGTTGTAGAAGCTCTTGTTGTAGAAGCTGCTGTTGTTGTAGAAGCTGTTGTTGTTGTAGAAGCTGCTATTGTTGTTGTTGTAGAAGCTGTTGTTGTCGAAGCTTTGTTGTTGTTGTAGAAGCTGTTGTTGTTGTCGAAGCTGTTGTTGTTGTTGTAGAAGCTGTTGTTGTTGTAGAAGCTGTTGTTGTAGAAGCTGCTGTTGTTGTTGTCAAAGCTGTTGTTGTCAAAGCTGTTGTTGTCGAAGTTGCTGTTGTCGAAGCTGTTGCTGTTGTTGTTGTAGAAGCTTATTGTTCTTGTTGTAGAAGCTGCTATTGTTGTTGTTGTAGAAGCTGCTATTGTTGTTGTTGTGGAAGCTGTTGTTGTTGTAGAAGCTGCTATTGTTGTTGTCGAAGCTGTTGTTGTTGTAGAAGCTACTGTTGTTGTTGTTGTAGAAGCTGCTATTGTTGTTGTAGAAGCTGCTATTGTTGTTGTTGTAGAAGCTGCTATTGTTGTTGTTGTTGAAGCTATTGTTGTTTTTGTAGAAGCTGTTGTTGCTGTAGAAGCTGCTGTTGTTGTTGTAGAAGCTGCTATTGTTGTTGTTGAAGCTGTTGTTGTTGTTGTAGAAGCTGCTATTGTTGTTGTTGTAGAAGCTGCTATTGTTGTTGTTGTTGAAGCTGTTGTTGTTGTTGTAGAAGCTGTTGCTGTTGTAGAAGCTGTTGTAGAAGCTGTTGTTGTTGTAGAAGCTGTTGTTGTAGAAGCTGTTGTTGTTGTAGAAGCTGCTATTGTTGTTGTTGTAGAAGCTGCTATTGTTGTTGTTGTAGAAGCTGCTATTGTTGTTGTTGTAGAAGCTGCTATTGTTGTTGTTGTAGAAGCTGCTATTGTTGTTGTTGTAGAAGCTGCTATTGTTGTTGTTGTAGAAGCTGCTATTGTTGTTGTAGAAGCTGCTATTGTTGTTGTTGTAGAAGCTGCTATTGTTGTTGTAGAAGCTCTTGTTGTAGAAGCTGCTGTTGTTGTAGAAGCTGCTGTTGTTGTAGAAGCTGCTATTGTTGTTGTTGTAGAAGCTGTTGTTGTCGAAGCTTTGTTGTTGTTGTAGAAGCTGTTGTTGTTGTCGAAGCTGTTGTTGTTGTTGTAGAAGCTGTTGTTGTTGTAGAAGCTGTTGTTGTAGAAGCTGCTGTTGTTGTTGTCAAAGCTGTTGTTGTCAAAGCTGTTGTTGTCGAAGTTGCTGTTGTCGAAGCTGTTGCTGTTGTTGTTGTAGAAGCTGCTATTGTTCTTGTTGTAGAAGCTTATTGATGTTGTTGTAGAAGCTGCTATTGTTGTTGTTGTAGAAGCTGCTATTGTTGTTGTTGTGGAAGCTGTTGTTGTTGTAGAAGCTGCTATTGTTGTTGTCGAAGCTGTTGTTGTTGTAGAAGCTACTGTTGTTGTTGTTGTAGAAGCTGCTATTGTTGTTGTAGAAGCTGCTATTGTTGTTGTTGTAGAAGCTGCTATTGTTGTTGTTGTTGAAGCTATTGTTGTTTTTGTAGAAGCTGTTGTTGCTGTAGAAGCTGCTGTTGTTGTTGTAGAAGCTGCTATTGTTGTTGTTGAAGCTGTTGTTGTTGTTGTAGAAACTGCTATTGTTGTTGTTGTAGAAGCTGCTATTGTTGTTGTTGTAGAAGCTGCTATTGTTGTTGTTGTAGAAGCTGCTATTGTTGTTGTTGTAGAAGCTGTTGTTGTTGTTGTAGAAGCTGCTATTGTTGTTGTTGTTGAAGCTGTTGTTGTTGTTGTAGAAGCTGTTGCTGTTGTAGAAGCTGCTGTTGTTGTAGAAGCTGCTATTGTTGTTGTAGAAGCTGCTATTGTTGTTGTAGAAGCTGCTATTGTTGTTGTTGTAGAAGCTGCTATTGTTGTTGTTGTAGAAGCTGCTATTGTTGTTGTTGTAGAAGCTGCTATTGTTGTTGTTGTAGAAGCTGCTATTGTTGTTGTTGTAGAAGCTGCTATTGTTGTTGTTGTAGAAGCTGTTGTTGTTGTTGTAGAAGCTGCTATTGTTGTTGTTGTAGAAGCTGCTATTGTTGTTGTTGTAGAAGCTGCTATTGTTGTTGTAGAAGCTCTTGTTGTAGAAGCTGCTATTGTTGTTGTTGTAGAAGCTGCTATTGTTGTTGTTGTAGAAGCTGTTGTTGTTGTTGTAGAAGCTGCTATTGTTGTTGTTGTAGAAGCTGCTATTGTTGTTGTTGTAGAAGCTGTTGTTGTTGTTGTAGAAGCTGCTATTGTTGTTGTAGAAGCTCTTGTTGTAGAAGCTGCTGTTGTTGTAGAAGCTGTTGTTGTTGTAGAAGCTGCTAC